GAGTCCAATGTCCATGATCACGCCGAGGATCTTGACATGCTGTTTGGGTTTGACTGTTTGGCCCTTGATAGTGAAAGGTTCCGAATCGGACCTTTTGGCCCATCGGGTGAAGTGGATGACCGCCGTCTTGTCCGCTTCGAAAGTCGCCCCGCTTCTCTGCTCCCAGTCCAGTGCCTTCTCGATGATCGCCTCGATCCCTTTACGGTTGTCTTGCGTGGTTGGTCCAGCGACCCAGGATGTGAAGTCGTCGACAAAGGCTATAGCTCCTCCATAGCAGTTGATCTTCTGTTGTACAAGGTCGGCGTTGAAGAACAGAAACAGGATCGGTGACAGTGGCGATCCTTGCGGTAGTCCAGCCTGAGGCAGGGTCCGGACCTCTGATGCTTGGCCGTTGACCTGAATTGTCGCCGTCCGATCGGAGCAGAATGCCTCTACCCAACGGAGCAAATCTTCTGGGAGGCCCCTCGCTCTCATTCTCTGAATGAGTCTCTCTTTGCATACTCCATTGTATGCTCCCTTCACATCGAAGCTCACGAGGCTGACCACCCAACGATTTCTCCATGCTGCGTAGATTTGTTCTTGCAGCAACACCAACGCTTGTTCTGCTGACCTCTGTTTGCGGGCCCCGAAGTGGTTCGTGGGCAACAGCCCATGGGTTTCGACTGCATGGGATATCCTCTCCGCAACAACCGACTCGAGAACCTTGCCGAGCGTGGCGAGGAGCGAGATGGGCCTCCAAGCCTTGGCGATGGTGTAGTCTCCTTTGCCGGGCTTCTTGAGCGGGATGATCTTGGCATGCCTCCATTGGTCGGGGAGTACTCCTTCCTCTAGCGATGCGCGGAAAATCGCAAGGACACTGTGCTTGACGGCTGGCCAAATCTGTTTCCAGACCATCGCCGGCAACCCGTCCTCACCGGGTGCTTTCCACGATTTCGTCGCGAAAAGCCGGCGCTCGACTTCTTCCATCGTGATGTCAGGCATGGTGACAGCCGATTCGCGCTGCGGCCTCTCACCCTCCTCTTCGATGTGCTCTGGTGGGGGCGGGAAGAAAGTCGTAAGCAATTCTTCCGCTTGCTCTTTGCCGTTGGTCGTCCGTGTGCCATCAGCCTTTACAAGCTGCGGCACCTTGCCGAATGCCGCGTCGTCGCCCGACTTGAGATACTTGGCGGCCTTCCAGATGTTGTCGTTGTCGGCCAGAAAGTCGTTCCAATGGGTTTTCTTCTGTTGTCGAATGGCACCGTGGTATTGTTTCGCTGCTCCCTTGGCCGTGTTCTCCAGTGCTTCATCGTTCCGTCCTGCCCGTCTCGCTGCCCTCGCCCGGTTCCTCCAATGTGTGTGGATGTGGCGGAGCTGCGTAAGATCCGCCGTCCACCACCGCTTCGCGTGTGGCGATGGTTTGGCTTTTGGTGTCAAGGCCTGTACTGCTTCCAGCACCACTGACATGAGTCTGTCCGTCTTCTCTTGGACCGTGCCTTCCATCGGGGCTGTCTCGAGTGCAGTGGAAATTCGAGTGTTGATTTCATTCCATGGCGCGTTCTTGTACAGAGGTCGGTCCTGGATTTTCGGGGCCGGCACTGATACATCAAAAATCGTTTCGATGGTGCGGTGGTCCGACCCGTGCTCTGTTCCGTTCGTCGTACACTTGATCATGGCCGCAGCTAGGTCTTCTGATACCAGCACCAGGTCGATTGTCGACTCGTGGTCCCCGCCTTGCCAAGTCTTCGTGCCCCTCGGGAGCATGCTGCAGAGGGAGAGCTCGTTCATCAGGTCGATGATGTTGTCGGCTTCACCCTGTCGTACCGGAGACACGTCGTCTCCTCCCCATAGTTGATCGTGGCGATTGAAGTCGCCCGCAATGACCACGTCCACCACCTCTCCTGCGGCTCTCCTGGCGTCCGCGACCGCTCTACGTATGGTGTTGCACGCTTCCTGTAATGCCTGGGTGTCCATCCCCTGCACGTACACGGACACCACCAGTACCAGTTTCCCTGGAAGCCGCAACAATGCTGCTGTCATGTCCGGAGACTCTATCCGCACCTGTTCAGCCTCCAAATCCTTCCTTACCCAAAGCATGCTTCGGATCGCCCATCGTCCTTCCCCAATCGTTGGTGGGACCATCTTTGTCCATCTGTGATGTCCCATCGGCGTCGTCAACAGCCGTCCTTTGATCATCCGTGCCTGTGGTTCCTGGATCGCCAGCACCGCTACGTCCTGAATGTCCTCGTCGTTCATGAGGCTCTCGTGAACCTCGCCGCGTTTTCGCACATTGAGTTGGATCATACGGAGCGTACTACTCATTCAAAGATGGGTAGAGCTTCTTGCAGTTTCTGCTGAAAGATGCATGGGGACCTCCGCAGGGAACACACTTGAGGATAGTCTCAGTGCAGGCACTGTGGTGGTGCCCCTCCTTGGCACATTTCCCGCACACCTGGGGTCGGTCGCACTGGTGAGCTTTATGGCCGCGGCCCATCTGTTGACAGTTGTAGCACTGGTCGAGGCGAGGACGAGATTCGAAGACCTTGGTCCTCCCAGATTGTCCTCCCGCATAGGCGTAGCCCTCCGCGAGTAGCCTTTCCGCGTCCGCTCTCTTCGTGAGGTACATAACCATTGAGCCGTATGCCTTCGGGACGTCCCTGTTACTTAGCCAGCCTACTTTCGCAACTTGTACGTCGTTTTCTTTGCCAATCTCCTCCGCGGCCCCACTGCGGATGGTGTTCGCCTCATCCAAGACCACCATGCGGCTCACGTAGTCGACTTTGACAGGATAGAGTTCGTCTCGCAGCATCCTAGCTCCTCGAGGCAGCTTGGCTTCCACCAGTTGTTTCACCATGGCGTGCTCCTGCTCGTTTCTGCAGGCAATTCTGATTCGAGGCTTCTTCGGGTCCTTGGTCACGGCCAGGCAACGCCACTTGGATTGGCTTTGGTCCACCCTGACCTCGCCTTCCGTAAGGGTACGAATAGCGCCCGGTGTGAGCTGTTCACCTTGTTCGTCCTCCATCCTGGATGTGTCGATCGTGCAGAAGACCATGTCTATTGGCGTCGGTGGCGTTGTCATGGTAGCCTGCCTCGTGTTGCTGAGTTGGCCGGCCTGTGGCATCCGGGCAATGTCTGCGTAGGACGGCCCCGATCTATCCTGCCCTGCGATCGTCGTAGTGACTGTTTCGATGCTCGCACGCAGGCTCTGGGTTTCATTCGTGGTCGCATGGAGGGCTTTCCTAAGCTTCTCCACTTCGTTCTGGAGCTCTTCAATTCTTGTCGACTGTGACTGGGACTCTTCCAGGACCTTTCTCATGATCTTCGTCTGTAGTTCCATCTGTTTCTCCATAGCGCGCAGCAACGCTCTTCCGTCCGGCTGCCCTCCAAGAGTCCCGGAGATTGGTCGTCGCACCGTCGGTTTGGTACCGCGCCTATTGGCTCTTCGCTCCGTGATTTCCACATCGTCGGTCGGCTCGTTTCTGGCTTGACCCTCGGTCGCTTCATCATTGATATGTTCATCGTCGATGACTTCGTTGTCGATGGATCGATTGTCGACGACCTTGTTGCTCGGCTTGCGCGTCGATCGAAGCTGTCGTCTCACACCACCATTCCCCCATTCTCCATCCGACGCAACATGGATCGTGTCGCGTTCGTTCGCCATGGCTGCAGGTGGGGCGCCACGTGGAATGGGATCCACCAGTTCGCGTCGCGCCGTCCCACGTCAAAGACCAACCTGTCCACGATCAATCTGATGCCGTAATAAGTCTCTTCCTCTTTGAATTCTGTTCACTTTGGGTACAGACGTGATCGGTCGCGTCGTTTCGCTGCACATACAGTAGGACCCGGAATCGGCGTCCTCTGTTTACACTTCGTCAACTGTTTCCGCACGGACGTTGCGACTTCATGGCACTGGCGACTCAGCCGAGAGAAAATAACGTGGCGGAGAACCCATGTTCGACGCTTCTCCCAATCGAGCACTGACTTTCCCATGTCGGCTCCAGAAGCGGGAACGGCTGCTGCCGTAGCGTGCACGAACCCCTGTAAATGTCCGGGGACACGATCAGCTCTCAGCCAGCCAGTTGCCAGCCGTGTCTCAAGAGACCGTGGCCTGGGCGTCCATCAGAATGGTGATGAGGCTTCAGCCTCGCGAGCTAGCCGCGCGGCGAGATCGATAGCTAGGAGCGGGAACGGCCCAGGCCGCATCATGGACGCCCCCTAAATGATGCACGACGAGGGATCACCGCTCAGCCAGCCAGCCACAATCCATATCTGGTGATCATGGACCAAAAGCAGGGTCGCGGCGGAGGTCTGAGCCATGCGGCTAGACTCTGCGGGGTAAACGAGGGTGATCGCGTGGCTGCGGCAGCAGGCGAGTAGACACCAGGGCCCCTGAATTCCTCAGAGACTTCCAACCACAGTACGAACTTCGAAAGGTTCCGATTCGCCAGTGGCTTTCGCCCCCAGACAGATTCGGACAGAAAGTGATGCTCTCGGGTCATTTTACGTTCCCCCGTTGGAGATGTCGTTTTTCAGCTTCAGGGAAGACCTTCCGTATTGACCTGTCAGTCTCTTCTAACCGAACTTGGCATCTGAATGTCTGTTCAGCACGACGAATGCCACGATCGTCTCCGGGGAGCTCGCTCCGGGCTCATGTCAGCGTCTTACGGGAAATGTATCCATACCTGAGCTCCCATGTCACCGAAATCGATAGTTCAGCATTACGAGGACCGGTGACGAGTCTGGTCTATTCCACGGTTCCGCTTCATTGAGTGGCGTCGATGCAAAGAGAAGCTCGATGATGCTTGCCAGATAGAGCAAAACTTGTAGAACGAAAGACCAGCCAAGAAGGTAGGAGAGTCACTGGTCCGGAAAACCTATTTAAGATAACTCGACCGTCATCGAAAGTTTGAATCTTGAGCAGACACCATCTCTTCATCCTCTCTTCCGAACTCAAATCATCTTATCATACCTCTTGCCAGCGTCACTTACTTGCTCAAAATCCTCCAGTTTATTCTTACTTCAAAATGCATACCGTCCTCGACATCATCCATGCGGCCAATAAGGTCTCCGACCATATTGAGGATGCTCACGCTCGTTCAGGCAGTGCTCCCGACCTTTCGCCTAAGGAGCATGTTGAAAGCATCATCGCCAAGAACCGGGTAGGGCCTTATCGAGCAGTAAAGCATGTTGATTTCATACTGACACAATCTTCTAGGTTCTCAAACTCATCTCGCGCCAGATCAAAGATGTCGAGTCCGCTTTGAAGTCCTCTGTTGTTATAGATGCCGCCGACGTCGAGCCAGAGCTGGTAGCAATGGACGTTGCCAACGATACCAACAAGCCGCCAGGCGATGTGATCCGAGAGGGTATGTCTGGCAAGGACTCCGGCCTTGGCAAGCAGAACCCTTCACTCGAGAAGATGGCCGAGAACATCGGACCAATCGTCGATACCTTCAAAGACATTCTGGTACGATAAACCCTTGCATCGCACCCTTCGTTTCAGATTTGACTCGCTAATATTTGATCGCTTCCCACAGACCAAGCCTTACCTAAAGAACTACAACGCAATGCTCAACACTATTCCCATCGTTGGGCTTAAGGGCGACAACATCATGTACACCGAGACCAAGAGCCGCGGCGTTCTCGGCGTAGAGGAGGATTGGTCGGTCTTTGGCCGTATCCCCGAAAACGTCAACATCGACAGCAGCAAAGCCGTTCATTTTTTCCCTTACAAGGGAGACTTTTGCATGTCCATCGGTACCGCCATCTGGCGCAGGAAGCATCGCGATGACAGGGACCCCGAGGTCAAGAAGGCAGTTGATAACTGGCCGAAACTGTACGTCGAGTCCTGGGAAAAAGTAGGCGACAACTGTCTTCCGGTTGGCAACGCCTGGAGTATCCTCCCGTTTGCACGTCTCTCCGGCAAAGACATTCGCTTCCATCTCGTAGTTCTGGGACAGGACGGTCGCCTGCTATCTCTGAACGGCGACCTGGCTGGAAGCAACAACTCGTTCACGGAGCTTAAGAACGGCTCCGACGCCAAGAACAAGGCAGCGGCTGCTCTCAGCATCAAGCAGGCGGCCTACTTCAATGGAAATATTGTGGCCTACGACAGTGGCAGCAACACTTGGAATCTCGACGTGGATTTCGATGCTGCAACCTTCACTGCTTCGGACCAAATGGCTGTGGACCCGCTCTTCGAGCTGACCGCCACTGACATTGGTCCCGTTGCTGTTCAGACCGACGGCTGGATCTATCGTCGCCGCCTCGAGACGGTCAATGATCCATCGGACAAGACCGCTAAGAACGACAAGAAGGCTGGTTGGCAGCGGTGGATCCAACAAAAGGGCGTCACGCACCTCGGCGTGGCCTCCCCTGGTGTGATGTTGGACCTGGAGACACTCACGGGGTCTCTGCGGGACCGTTACATGGACACTCAGAAGTGCATTTACCCTGTGGTCAGCAAGCTGCAGACATTTGCTACCAACCAAGAGCTTTTCCTCAAGAAGCAACTTGAGACGGCTGAAGAGTACCAGAAGAACGAGGACAGCGCAGCGAAGCAAAAGATTGCCATCAAGGAAGCGAAAAAGCTTGTTATGCAGACGAAGATCTGGGCTACAATCATGCGCAAGCAGTCCAGCTCTGTCAAAGACACCGTCAACGGCATGGGTACCGATCTCTCTTCGGTCCGTACCCAGCTCGACCAACAGCTCATTGTTCTTCGCGATAAGCTTGTCTCGCTTCAAGCTCAGATTAAGGCCACAAAGGAAGCCAAGGCAAAGATGGATGCTGCCTTCTGGGGTTCCATTGGTGTGATGCTCCTTGGCATTGGTCTTGCAGTTCTCGGCGCTGTGACTGGTGTTGGTGTCATCGCTTTGGGCATTGTCGGCGGCGCGTTGTTTGCCGGCGGACTTGTGGCGGCTTGCCACTTTGGCAGCGAGTCAGCAAAGCTTGCTGGGCAGATCGAGGACTTGGAAGCAGAGGCGAGGGGTGTACAGCAAGCCATCACTGACATAAAGTCCGTGGCGGACAGATTTGGTGACCTCGAGAAGATGTACGAGAATCTCAACATGTTCTGGGGCCGTATGTTCAATGCCGCCTCGAGTCTTGGCGGCATGAACGAGGCCACAGCGCTCCAGATCGGCGCGGGCGTTCTTGAGGACACAACATCCATCGAGGCTTCGATCAGTGTTGTGACCAAGATGAAGAACGGCTGCGCGACCTACCTTGCTGTCTTGAACAGAACCGGCATCAAGATTCCCCGGGATGATTCTGACGACGACTCGGACAATGACGATGATGAAGCTACCGACGTTGAGCTGCAGTCACTCGAGACTTCGCCTGTCGACCCGGGATTCAAGAACCTCGTTCTCTTCAACAAGCAGGTCAATATCGCCACGCAAGCTTTGGAGAACGATCAGTTCAACGAGTATGTGAAGCATCTCGAGGTTGCAGACCTCATTGACGTCTACACTGGGCAGATGGGAATTGCGCCCGAAACCGTCGCTCAAGTCTTGGACGAAGCTCGTCAGCGGGAGGGGGCCGAGGCGGCGGACATTTTCGGTGATCTTGCCAACTTTGCCCGCTTCACACCTCTCGGGATGGCCGTCGGAATGGTCGAACAGGCTGTGTCACGCGATGTTGACCTTGAGTCAGCGCCTCAAGATGAACAGAGGGAATCAGGTGACATCTTTGGCATTTTGGCCGATTTTGCGAGGGTCAGTCCCGTCGGTATGATTGTAAACACGATCGGGACAGCGGCTGAGGCCGTTGCCCGTGATGTTGACCTCAATGAACAGCCGGAAAGCACGCAGTCAAACGGCAAAGAGTCTGCTGATATCTTTGGCGACTTGGCCAACTTTGCTCGCTTCACCCCCATGGGGATGACCGTCAACCTTGTGTCGGACGCCTTTTCGCGCGACGTCGACCTTGATATCCCTGAGACTCAAGTCCAGTCGCACGAGTCTGCGGACATTTTCGGAGTCATTGCCGACTTTGCGCGCTTCACTCCCGTTGGGTTTGCGCTGGGAGGTCTTCAGCTCGACAGCCCGAACCCAGTACAAAACTGGTTTTTGAAGAACACAATCGATGCGGCAACGAACATCTTTGCCACTGCGGCCCCGTTCTCATCGGACCATCCCAGCAGCGGCATGCTCAACGGTATCTTGGGCGAGGCTCGAAACAACGTACTTTCCATGTTGGATATGACTCTCAGCACGGCCTCAGTGTCAGAGGGTTGGATGAAGCAGATCCCGGCCGTTCCTGAGTCGGACGAGGAGATCTCAAAGGTTGCCTATCTTCAAGCGCAAGCACTCCTCACATGCAAGCAAGCAATGGAAAAGGCTAGGCTCGCCAACAACGCTTTCGTCGACTTTAACCATTTGGCTCAGCAGGAGCAGGAACGTCTTCAGCGTGAAATCAGTTTCCTCGGGGACAGGATCCAAAGCACCCATGCCCGGGGTGAAGCTGAGCTCCGGGAGATACTGAGCCCACGCGTCACAGACTTCTTTGACTTTGGGATTGGTCGGATGTCGGCTATGCAGAAAGCCAACGAGATGCAGAGCCGACTCAGCCAGGAGATTGATGAGCTTCAACGCAAAATCTCGCAGTGTTCGCAGGACCTCCAAAGCGGTCACTCCTTTATGGGACACACCCAGACTTGGGTTGAGCTCTGCGAGCGCACAAGCGGCAACCTTGGCTCGATTTACGGAACTCTGATGTCTGTGAAGTACGGTATCAAGATCGATGCCGCGGCGTACAAGGAGCTGGCGGATACGCAGTGGGGTCAGATCCGCAAGGAAGCGGACGAGGTCAAGGCAATGCTTCAGGGAGGCCAGAACTCGGCGGTGGCTATGGACATCGAAGGCCTTGGTGTTGCTGCAGATGTTGCTGCCGATTCAGCTTTGGTGCAGATTGCATCCCCCACTCCCGTCCTGCTGTCACAGCTTGAGGCCCAGACTAACAACTCGACCATCGTCTGGGAAAATATCGGCAAGCTGCAAAGGCTTACTTACACTGAAGATATCGTTGGCTACTTCGACGCTGCTTCTAACCGAAAGGTTACACTCAACGAAGTCATCCAGAGCATCAGGAATGCCTACACCCAGACGGCCGCGCTTCATTACGGGACCGTTGAGCAGATCAACACGCTGGCTCTTCTGCAGAGTACCCGTGCGAACAACCTCGCCAGTGGCAAGATTTCTCCGCATGTCTTCCTCAAGGGTACCTTCAGCTCAGTCTCCATGGCACGCAAGCAATCTGCTCGCGTCAAGTCGCAGCTGGCCAACTCCTCTGCTGAGCTCAGTGGTAAAATCAAGCTTGTGAAGGCGTCCATCGGAGAGCTGAAGAAGGCCATCTCCAGCGCCAACATTGATCTCGCCCGCCGCGACAAGGCCTATCGCGACAAAGTTACCGGCATCATTGTTGAAGGATGCTTGACCGGCTTCGCTACTGGCGGTTTGGTTGCTGCTGCTGCATTTGCTGCTTATTCAGGGGTTGCCATCGCTTCCATTCCTGCCCTTCTCGCGGCCGGCGGTGTCGTCTTTGGCAAGGACGGCGACAAGAAGGAAGACAAGGAAGAAGGCACGCCGGATGGTAAGGCTTCCAATGGAACCAAGGCTACCAACGGCACCAACGGCACCAACGGCACCAATGGCACCAATGGCCATGCGAAGCCCAAGGTCGAGTCGGATGGGGAGGAAGTTCCCGAGGAGGCTGGAGACAAGAGTGAGGAGACTGCTGCGCCCACCAAGAAGACTGAAAAGGAAATCCCCATTCAGAAACGCGTGGAAGCGGCGCAAGACACCTGGACGGCACTCAGCGGAGTGCTTCGAACAGTCAAGGATGCCGCCAGCGGAACGGAGCTCGGCAAGGCGCTGTTCAACAAGATGAGTCTCCAGGAACTTGGCATGCTTGTGCAGTTGGTCAAGACAGCTATCGTCGTCATGGAGCGCTCTGTGGCGGCGGTGGAGCACCTCTCGCAGCCACTGGAGGACCTGCTGTCCAGCGTGGCTCAAATGGCTGACATTCTGTCCGACATGGATACTCGTTGCAGCCAGTACCAGGTGAAGACTGCTGGAGCATCACTTCAATTTGGCAAGGAAGAGGCCGAGACAGTCAAGGCCCGCTGGGCTGAGGTTGGTGACGCCGCTGAGGCTTGGCTGGATGTCTTCAACGCGCAGCGCATCTCTCCTATTACCTACAGTGTCGTTTGAGTACATGAGGCTTCACAAGGAGGAGGTAAGGAGAGCTTTAACTTGAGATCACACTGTACCATTGAATGATTTAGCTAGCATAGTGTTGGACAGTATGCGATTTTTCATAGGGTACTCCGACGGGTTGCATAGCACCGTGAAATAGACCCATCACTTCTCAATCGACAGTATAACCTCTCGAATACTCGATGCCGACTGTTTCAACAGCTCCGTCTCCTTTTCGTCAAGGAGCAGAGGCACTTCCTGGAACGCTCCGCCCCTGTTGATCTTACACGGCATGCTAAGGGCCACGTCCTCCACGCCAGCGTAATCTCCAACCTGAGAGACGGTCATGATGGCATCGGAGTCCTTAACGATTGGCTCCACAAGGCTAACAATGACACTTGCGATACCGTAGTTTGTTTTCCCCTTCTTTTCGATGATAGCGTAGGCTGCACCCCTGGTACGGGCCGCGCATGCCGCCATAGCCTCCTCGTCGTGGGGCCTCCCAGCTTGCCGGCAATACTCAGGCAGCCGCATTCCAGAAATGTTGGCCAGGGACCACACAGGGAGCTGAGAGTCGCCATGTTCACCAATGATGAATGCATGAACGCTACGCGGGCTGATACCGAAGTGGTGGCCCAGCTCGCGGCGAAAGCGGGTTGTGTCGAGTGAAGTACCGGTCCCAATGACACGGTGAGCAGGAAAACCGGAGAGCTTGGTAGCAGCATGCGTAAGAACGTCGGCGGGGTTGGTGGCGATGATGAGGATTGTATCCGGAGCAGCCGTGGCGATGCGAGGGACGACGTCAGCGAAGAGGGCGTAATTTGTTTGTACGAGCTCGAGGCGTGTTTGGCCGGGCTTCTGGTTGACACCTGCCGTAATGACCACGAGGGTCGCGCCCGCGCAATCAGAATAATCGCCAGCGCGGACCTTTGAGTGTGTGAAATGGGCGGCATGACCAATGTCTGTAGCCTCCCCATCAGCACGGTGCCTGTCAATGTCGATGAGGACAATGTCAGCGGCTAGACCGCTAAGCAGGATAGCATAGGCTGTCGTCGCGCCGACAGAGCCGGCCCCTACGACGACGATCTTGATGGACTGCATGATAATGAGACAGATGTTGGTATTTTTTTAGGAGTCCAAGGACAATTCACCGTCGAGGTCACAGTCGCGGGTTCGTGCTCTGGAGACATCGCAGCTTGTAGCATCGTAGCTTGTAGCGGGGTAAAGACTCGACAGCCGTGGATCGATTTGGGTACTGGCGTTAGTGGCGGGTTAGGTTGGTTTAAGGGTGTTTAGCTTCGTAGCTAGGGTATTAGACAGTCGAAAACAACGCGTCGTATATATATGACTCGATATTGTCGATATTGTCGCGGACTTGGTCAAGCTGGACGGTGGCCTGTTTCTGACTAACCCGGCTCGCCAAGGTTTGTGGCTCACGATATCCAATTGGGCGCTTCGGGGATCTCCCGACTTTCCGTGCCGTCCGCTCATCTACTACTGCTGGTATCATCTCGACGACAACCAAGTTCGATGAACACGTAATTATCTACAGAGGAGACAGCAAATGCTGCGGAACAGTGCACAGAGATGTGCTACAGGAGCTCAAACGTTTCTTCATATTTTTCTACTAGTCCATCGACGTTGAAAGCCTCATTTTTAGTCTCGCAGGATTGGTAGCGGTGACTTGAATTCTTGATTGCCAGGTTCGCTAGAACAGGTCTATAGATACAATTCCTGCACGATTTCATCAGCTTAGTATCGTCTTGAATGGTTCCGTGTCAATCTTTCAGGTCGGCATGCGATCATACCAGCTTGTTTCCCTACCCACCGTTCAACACTAGGTAGATGTGTCGCTTTTCTGGTCTACCCAAAATGCAGCTTTTAAATGAATTTATACCGCTGATATGTCCCCAACATGTAGAGCAGCTATCGATACCCGAAGCGAAGGACCTAGCTGTCAAGTGGCTCACACCCTTACATTCTTCGCAGATCCAGAACAAAGGCTGTGCTGCAAACGCGTCGGGGGCATCGTGAGCTTAACCCAGGGTCGGACCTGCTAGAATGAGGCCAAACCTTGTAATCTAGGTAACAAAGGGAGAGATACAAGGTTGACGCTCTGATCACATGTGGCAAGCAGAAGCGATTGAACCAACTTTCGGTGGAGTGTAGGCCTTACGATGCCAGCCTTTGGCCTCGGTGATTGTCGTATTGACAGAACTACACATAGCATTGCGGCAAGGCTCACTGAAAGTCGCCTACAGCCCCTGTCTTCAGTTCCTAAGTGTTCACCAACACGGGTCGCGTGACATTGTGCCAAGATTAAATTGAGGCCCCAGCCCTCTTGGCCTCGATAAGCCCCGAACGTCTCGGCAGCGCCTCCGTGACCCATGGCCAGTTAAGTGTTCCCTGTGCCACTGCAATGCATTCAGGTACACTTCTAGCCTGGTATCGATCGTGCCTCAAAAGCGACAAGAACAAGCATTTGAATGGGCGACATCCCGTTCATCCGTTTGTCTCACGAATACAACAGCACAACCACATCGGGCTCAACATCTACACGACACACTCGATCCCGAGAATGGAGTTGCGCTCATGTTCAATCACCATATGTTATCAGCCAAACAACCACGAGACTTCACAATGCGCTCGCTGCAGACCTTCATGACTATACAGGCAGCCTTCTCAACGCTTGTCCATGGCCAAGACGAGCAAGCCTTGATCCAAATGACCTGGCCTGACGCAAACGAAAGTTTCTACAGCGTCATCAATGGAAAGAAGGTGACACACAACGGTGGACACGACGACTGGGGATTAAGCTCGAGAAACTTCCAGTGCTCAGATGTCAACCCCCCTTCCGACGCAAAACGAACCTTGCTTTCGATTGATGGGTTTCATGTTCAGTTGTCACAGATGTGGGACTCCAAGACCGTCTCGAGTTCATTCGAAATTGGGAGATGGATGATAGACTGGTCGTTCGGTCAATTTGAAGGACTTGATGGCGCCAATGCGACTGCTTTCGCCTGGTCCAACGGCCTCTATTACGATGGCTTGTCTGACCTGGGAGTCACATGTGGTGACAGGCTTTTGGCACCAAACTCCTACGGGATTCCCAACTGGGAAGAAGAGGGCATTGTCGACATATTCCAGGTCGAACCGGGGCGGTGGAACGGAGTCAACGCGACGTTGGGTATAAGCTTTCAACAAAAGCTGCCAGGTTCCCAGACCGAGTTGCCGTCGCAAACTTTCATACAGGTGAGTCTAAGCCCCCGCCCTGCAGAATGACAACACGTTCAGGGGCAATATTTGACTGACGAAGCAACAGTGCGCCTACGTCCAGTTCACAACAGGCCCAGTTCCTGCATCGCCTTGTCAGGCTGGCACACCAACAACCAAGACTACATCAAGCGAGTCACCAGAATCTACTCGAGCAACTCGAACTGGCTTTTCCTGGGACCGAGAGACGCCACCCACCAGCACAAGCGCCAGTAATGAAAACGCTGAGGACGACGGTAACGGTGGAGGCGACAGAGGTCTCAGCGCTAAGGATCTTGGCTTGGCGATCGGCCTGTCATTGGGCATACTGGCCCTTGTAGGCTTGATTGCCTATTTCTGGCCTCGCCTGCCAGTGAAATACACCTCTCGCGTTCCTGGAACAAGTGGCTTGATGGAGAATCAACGCGAGACTTCACTTGGGGGGGCACCAGAAATGAATGGTCAAGGGGCCACATTGCAGGTGCCAGCCACCATCAGAACAGCCAGCACTAGAAGCAGCAGTCCGCCCCGAGTGGGACTGCCTGGAGGCTATTATCATCCCCGGCAAAGGCTCTCCTCCGATTTCGATGTTGAGGCTGGGTCATCTCATCGACAGCACCAACCTTTGCCTGAGAGCGAGATGATCATGGTACAGGCAGCCATCGCCGATTCAAACGAACCGAACAAGGCCATTATCGACGAGCCTCTTCCTCCGTATCCAGGACCACCTCCGGAATACGAGAGATAGATCTTGCGATTAGCGTGAGGAAGTGTCTCTCGCTTGAATCGGTATGTATAAGTGTGTAGTGATAGGAGTTTCATCTGGAACTGTACGCGCAAGGGACGACAGGGAGCACTTGGGTTAGACATGCACCATGATCAGGGAACATGGACTGCAAATGGTTACAAAGTCTTCATGCTTCCCATGTTTGGTGACCATTGCGATGATCAATGTCCTCTCAAAAGGTTTGCGCATCGCTAGCAATGGGCTGTAAATCCCCCTTTCCCTTGAAGTTTTCCAGAATGTCCGCCTGCTCCGACAGCATGAACCGGTCAGTCTGCGAGCCAATCTTCGCAAGATCCCTCCATCGATCGAACGCCGTCGGGTCTCTCTTGTCGCCGTGCGCCTCCTGTGGGTGCTCCCAGTGCCCCTTCGAGAAGCCAATCAGGGTTGTGACTTTCTGGTTGGGAATGTCGTAGACGAGAGAGCAGATGGTGCCCGTCTCCTCAAGCCAGTTCACCTGCCAGATTTCGCCCGGCCGTACACACTGGTACGTGGCTGTCTGGTAGTTGATGCGGCCAGCCATAGGCCCACCGTGAATGGCGTAGACCACGCGGTCGTGAGAGAAGAACCACACCTCATAACGCCATTTCTCGGGCTTTCCATTTTCGTCTTGGGCAGCATAGTCGTAGATGAGGTGAGTATCCTTAATATCCTTGTCGAAGGAGGGGTCAAGCTTGGTGTTGGTGAGGAAGCGAGGAAGAGACTGGTTGGATTGAGACATGTTGAGTGGTGACCGCCGGGCTGCTGCAACATGAGAATGGGCAAAGAAAGATTGGGAGACGTCAATGGCCAGCCACCTGATATGTGTATGTTTGCCGCAACCCGTCTATGAGGTCATCATTGCTGGAACCGCATCGAGGTCCAGTCCGGCCTCCGGTTCCAGCCACAACGTCAATTGAACACCAAGGAGAGCTTGCCGGATTTGCCAGAAGGGAGGACTTAGATGTAAGCAACTCTCATAGAAAGCAATTTGGATTGCAAGAATGCCAGAATATTCCTCCAGATGCTTCAAGACGGCTTGAAGACGCAAATAAGCCTTGATGCGAAGAAGACTAACATGGAAGCGTTCCATCCATTTGTTGCGTTCGTCAGGGAACGAAATCAATGTGTCTCCTAGTGGGTCTGGCCGCGACCGTGACAATCATGATGCTCCGCCCCGTATGGGATTATCGTCAGAATTGTTGTGACAATCAGAGAAACTGCGACAATATACTCTCTTCATTATTAATCATCAATTTTGAAATCAACAGGCGAGAATCCAAGCAGATGGCAACAAGGTGTAGCCCCAGGACCAGGGACGGGACGCCAAGGCCATCCGGCGAGGAGCCGCCGGCCGGATATCGGCCTACCGGCATTAGCGGATCGCATTTGCCCACTCTGCATCCGATGCAAGCAAAAGCTGCGCTGGGCGAGCGACCGCCAACCGCAGCTGGCTGTACTGAGCGCGCGTCGCAACAGCCCTTTTCCGATGCATCCCTAGAAAGAGGCCCAGCGACATTGTCCCGACCGTTGGCACATCATGAAACGGCACGCTGCAGGCTTTCTCGCGTCGTAGCAGACTATCGAAAAGCCTAGGCGGAGAGCGCCCATGAGCACAATGCAAAGCTCCAAAACGACGTGACTGTGCACCAGGCGAGACCAACGATGCTTGGGGCATTCCTGTAGCTCACGTCAGGGAGCCAAATGCGAGGCACTACCCAACCATAGCTGCGACAGCCACGGCTCTCGATATGGTACGATGGACATGCCTCAAGAGACGAGGTTTGCAAAAGTATGGATAGGCCTGACGTGCCACTGAATCTGGAGTCGGTTGTGCCCGTGCTGGCGAGTTCCACTCCTTTGCAGGTACGCCAGAAAATATGTGCTCATAACGCGACTCCTGGTGATCTGCTACCAAACAGGTATACCACGAGCCAAACAAGCTCTAGTTCAGGTGCTTGTGCCTAAGTCAATTAGCCCAAATCCGTGACAGCATGGTGCAAGGCCGCCAACAAGCGGCGTCGAGTGTCAAACGATGGATATTGCGGGGTTGGCGATGATCTGAATGTGTCGCCCACGTTCTGTTTCGGCTGAACAGGCAGCTGACAAGAGACTGTATGCCACATGCCGGAGCTGCTTCTCGTGCTTCAAGCTCCGCGAACACTCACTCATGTCGGCATCGTTAAGCGAAGGATATCGTTTTCGGACCATGACGACAGGACCACGCGATGGCTGAGGTCAAGGTGGTTAGGCCACTGACACCTCAGCGTGGCGCTCCTGCTGTTGACGCTCATACCACGAGGTAAATGACAAATATAGGAAGCGAAGCTATCATGAGGCAAGTTCACCCAAGACGATGAAGCTTGAGCAGGGCAGCTGACTCGCTAATTGCCTTCTCGTCAATCAGGGCATGGCCGCCACAAATGTCGTTTTCGGCGTGGCCGCACCCATGGCTTGTTTTGCTGGACTTTTCACACCGGAAATCGTCGGCAGTTACCTGTGCCTCAGCGGCAGATTCCAACCTCGACTTGGTAAACACCTTTCTGGACAGAAAACGGCTCCGAGGACGTGCTCGCTTTTCAAGATGATAATGGTATCAAGCTCGGAAATATTACACCAGCGAGATCCGTACCGTGCTCCATCGCGAATCTCTCGCCAGATGTTCTCCGCCAAGCGCCGGAGCGAACCCCTACAAACGGGCCGCCCTACCATGCCGCGTGGTGTCGAGGGCGTATCCAGTTCAGCCCAGCGGCGCTTGTCCAACACTGGAAATGTCACCTTGTAAGTTTTGGTTGACAGAGAAGCGGTTCCGCCGACAGTGAAGGCAAGTGGCGTAAAATCCCTCCAGCAAACCACGCTGGCCCCGTTGTTCGAGTCAGTCACAGCTGGGTCCGGCCACTGATGTTACGCGAAAAGATCCACCAGAGTGCCGGTTTTCACACCTGCGATCTGCCATTTAGGTGTAGAACCAGAGGCGAGGGTGGCCGAGACGGAGGCTCCTGGTCTGAGAAGAAATCTTCACACATTATTATCCTTTCGCCTGGCCCGAGGTCCACACATGGCTAGGATATGTTCCTGGCTAGCTCTGATGATACCATTCTTTGGCTCCGGTGTCGCCATCGTGAAAGAAAAAAATTGATCCGACTTGGAGCCTACTTGTACTGCATGTTGCGGCAATCTGAATGAATGGATTGCTTATACGCTGGACCCTCTCTAGCCATCCAAACTTGACGTAACGCCTGCCATTCTATGACCAAACCATCAACTGAACAAGGTTTGCAATTGGAAGCTTAGATCACCATGGCGCGCCATTCTCACGACGGAGTTGACCACATCTCTCCGGATATCGAGCGAGCGGCTGCGGACTATCATGCGGGCAGCGATGACAAGGAAGCCATTCTACCGCCGCAGCTCGGCGTCGGCGGCCAAGGTGGCACCCAGCGCCACCTCCGCGACTACCAGGTCACGATGATTGGCTTCTGCAGCGGCATCGGGACCGGCCTGTTCATCGGCACCGGCTCGGCGTATGCACAGGCCGGCCCCGCAGGTTTGCTGCTTGCGTACATCATCGTCGGCGCTGTGCTTTGGTGTGTGATGCAGAGCATCGGCGAACTCGCAACCTTGGTGAGTGAACACTGCTTCTGAATCTTCGGGAGCCAAAACTGACTTGTCAGATTCCAACGGCGGGCACTTTCCCCCACTGGGCGACACGCTTCATCGACCCTGCAGTCGGCTTCTCGCTGGCCATCTCATATGGCTACTGCTACACCATCTCGATCGCCGCCGAAGCTTCTGCATCGGCCATCTTGGTGGCGTACTGGACAGACATGACGCCGGCTGTCATCATCACCATCTCGCTTGTGCTCATTCTGGCCATCAACCTCCTGAATGTACGATGGTATGGCGAGGTTGAGGTCTTCAGCGGTTCGGTCAAGGTGCTCTGCTTCCTTGGCCTCATCCTCGTGTCCATCGTCATCACCTCCGGAGGTGGGCCAAATGGCGAGGCTATCGGATTCCGGTACTGGAACAACCCGGGCCCCTTTGTCCAGTACAACGACATCAAGGGAACGACTGGCCAGTTCCTTGGCGTCCTGTCCGCCTTTGTCAACGCGTCCTTCTCCTTCATCGGTGTTGAGACGGTTGTCATCTGCGCTGCCGAGTCGATCAACCCCCACAAGGCTATCCCCACGTCCACGAGCCGCGTCACCTATCGCATTGGCCTTTTCTATATTCTCGGTGCTCTGCTCATCGGCCTCATCGTGGACCCTCGCAACCCCGACCTCGTCTCGGACGCTGGCAACGGCAACGCATCGCCCTGGGTCATCGCCATCAGGCAAGCGGGGATCTCCATTCTGCCGTCCATTGTCAACGCGTGTATCCTCGTGTCGGCATGGTCTGCCGGCCTCTCGTACTGCTGGGTCGGCTCGCGCATGATCGTTGCCATGACCACTGACGGCCAGCTGCCCAGCGTCTTCGGCCGCACGTGGTCCAACGGTGTGCCCTACGTCGCCGTCATCACGGCCTGGCTCTTCGGACCTTTCGCATACCTCAGTCTGGGCTCGGGCGGCGCGGGTCAGGCGTTCACGTGGCTGCTCAACCTCAGCACCGTGTCGGGTCTCATCGCGTGGGCGACGCTCTGCTTCTGCTACATCCGCTTCCACCGCGCCATGAAGGTGCAGGGCATCAGCCGCGACACTCTGCCGTGGAAGTCGCCATTCCAGCCTTACACGGCCTGGTTCGGCTTCATCGGTGCCACCATCATTACTTTTGTCGCCGGTTTCCCCGTGTTCCTCAAGGGTAACTGGTCGACTGCCGACTTTATCGCGTCGTACATCAGCATTCCCATCTTTATCCTGCCCATTATCGGCTGGAAGCTGTGGCACAAGACCAAGGTATGTCGCTCATCGGTTTGGAGATGTGGCTCAGAGATGCTAACCTTGGACAGTTCCAACGTGCCGCGACGATTGATTTGTGGTCGGGTCGTCTGCATGAGTCGCAGCAGCCGCCGCCCAAGCCGATTGCAACGGACTTCAAGGGCAAGGTCCATAACTTCTTTTCATGAGGGTGCTGCATATGTTGCCTGGTGTTTTCCAGGCAGGCTGGATTGATAGCGTTCCTGGTATTTACATAATAGACTGAATAGATTTCCGAGTAATCGCTTCCATTGAAGGAGACTTGACACAAGCCAGTAGCACCAGCAATGTCATGCCGAACACGCGAGATGACTGTGAAGACTGGTCAATCAAGGGATTTAGGGGACTGAACTGACGAAGATCCGAGCGAGCTGAACACGGTTCCATTGGACGATTGGTCATGGATCAAGGGATGTTGTCTCACCAAAGTGAGTGTTCCATCCTCAATGGGGTCAGGGTGGGTCCAAGACGGGAAGGGGCAAGGCGCGGAGTCACGTGCTGGCATGGCGATCGCGTTAAGTGGTGGGTGGGGCGAGGCTTACTTTTGGACCAATTCCAGTGGTCGACCAGGTGATCCTCGAACTCACTGGGCAAGCGCGACGGGATCCCTATGTTCATGGCCGCTTCCCGTGTAAGGTGCAGTCTTGCGCCGTTCCTTCAACCTTCAACCTTCCTTACCTCCATCCAGCCTTGCTGCTCTCTATCTACCCTCCTTCCCCCTCTCTCTCCCCAGAGTCAATTGATGGGCCAGATTCAGTTCTAGGAACCATCACAGCTCTCCATCAATCATTTATTCTTCACATTTCTGATATCTTCGCTCCTTCTCCCAGCACACGGTCCCGAACGTCGCCACGTCCTTCCATCTGTTATACTCGACCCGCAGGCCAGCCAGCAGCAAGCCGCCGCCGACATTGCATCACACTTCCTGAATATGGAGTGCTCCAATTGCAAGCGCAATTTTGCCTGGCATCTTCACGGCCGGGACGGTTGCCATTACCACAGTGGTACGTCCAATGCCTACCCTCCCCAACCCTCCCCAACTCCACCCCCATCAGGCCACTGACAACCGCTCTCAGGCTTCCTCCAGCCCATGGCCTCGACGTCCGACGACATGATGGACACGGAACCCAGCATGGAAGATTTTCTTCGGAGCCGCCGATGGTCCTGCTGCCAACAAGCGGGCAACAACCCGGGATGCAACTGGGGCCGCCATCAGCTCCGCCAACCACGGTCCCTGGAGCCCCCGACGGGCGTGCGTACCGGCGGCAACGCGTTCCACGGCGCGAGGGGGATGAAGAGGCGGAGCTCCGACGACAGCGACTCGGACAGCAGCAGCGGCAGCGGCGCCGAGTCGTCGATCGGCTCGCGAAACATGGCCGCGGGGTTTGGCGTCAAGATGCGAAGGCTCGACCGGCGGGACGGCATGGGCGCCGCGACGTTACGCGACGGCCGGCAAGAGGGGACTCTTTCGTTTTTCGCAACGGCGCATTCGGGGTAACTTAGTTTCAGCGTGTGTAGACTTTGGTACAAACAGGGCATCATCGGCAACGGGCGTCATCTTGACGAGGCTTGCTATGCTCGTCTGGCCTCGGATGAGGCGACGGAGCAATACTTTCGGCCGCGCACTCGGGAAAAGGGTTTTGGTCGTGTGCTTGGGAAAGGTAGTTTCGGGACGAGCCCTGTTCACAGCAGATGCCTGGCTTTTGCACCGACGACGGTCTGTATGGAATAGCGATCAATAGGAGTAACTGGGAGCAAGTCAAGTTTTCAATCCATCGCCTCGTCGCAGTACGTCTTCCACTGCCTGCTGCATTGAACAGCCCGAGCAGAGCAGGCAGAATGAACCTGCCTTGGAGCCCGCGAGGGTTAAAACCTGCGCAGCGCCACTTACGATACGTCTCACAAGAACCTTAAAACCCATACTCGCCATCTTCACTCATTCAACACAAGCACTGCATCCAACCCCAGAGATTTCATTATTCATGCTCATTACTATTGTGCTTTTTGGGTCTATGTACATTAGGCTACGGGCAACGTCCGCGTCGCACGAGAGGCGAGCAGCGTCTGCGTCTAGGCGAAAGCCCAGTAGGCGAGCTCGTACATGTAGGCCAGCGCCATCTTGGCGTGCTCATTGACGTGGCCAAACGAAACGTACTGCATCGTGTCGTTGGGCGTGTGGATGTACGGGTTGTGGTTGCCGAACGGCGCCTCGAAGATGAACGACGAGGGGAAGCCGTTCCGGTTGGCGGAGGCGTGGTCGGAGCACGCATAGCCGCAGACGGTCTCCTCGTAGGGAATGTTGGTGAACTGGCCGATGGCCTTCTTGAGGAAGTCGTTCTGGCTGGCGTCGGTGAAGTCAGTGACGAGACCGAACCGCTCGATGCCGTCACGGCCAGCGTAGCCGACCATGTCCTGGTTGAGCATGGAGACGACCTGGCGGTTGAGGGTGCGGTACTGGGTGAAGATGTCCTGAGAGCCGAGCAGACCAGCCTCCTCGGCACCGTACCAGTGGAACTCGAGGGTGTTGAGGATGTTGCCGTCCTGGACACGCTTGTCCGAGAGGACGGCGCGCAGCACCTCCAGGTTCATGAGCGAGCCGGAGCCGTTGTCGTCGGCACCGGGAGCACGGCCGGTGCCGCGGTCGCCCGAGATGACGGAGTCGAGGTGGGAGCCAAGAATGACTGTACGCTGGCTGCGGCCGGGGATGGTCACGATAAGGCTGGGCTGGGCCCACGCAACGTGGCGGACGTAGCGGAGGTTGACAAAGGGGATGCCGCTGTCGTCAATGGCTTCCTTGATCTGGTCATGCAGCCAGTCGACGGCCTGGACGCCCCAGTTGGAGAGATAGTAGCGGTTGTGAAACGAAGAGAACTTGGTCAGAAGTCTCTCGATCCTCTCCATGTCAAGCTTGGGAATCAGCTCGTCGATGGTGCACTTCTGGTGGAACTTGTCGGGGAACGGCAGGGCCGCAGCAACGGCGAGCCTGTTGGCCGACACCTCCTTGTCCTGGAACTCGGTGATGTCGAAGAAATGGGCGCCCTTCTGTTGCGGGGATCAGCACGGCGCTGCACAGGGATTGGATGCCTGTCTGGAGCTACTTACGTCCATCATCTCAAATTTCTGCTCCTCCGTGACCTCAATGGTGACGCCAGGGGATGTCTCCAGCGTAAACATCTTGACCGCACGTCCGATGGGAGCAGTAGCAGTGGCCGAAGCCACGAGGGCAGCGAGGACGGGGGCAGAGTAGCGCATACTGGTGGTAATGGCTATTGTTCTCCGGGGTTGGGGGTAAAAATTGATGATGCGAGGTAGTCAACACAGTTAGACCTGGATCCTGAGGAGATGCTGAGAGCCTCCGAAGCGTCACAGCGGGAGGCAGGAGCTGCATATAAGGTCCGCCGTGCCTGCTTTCTGCCTATATGGATTTGACACCTACTGCTCAGCTCCAGTGTAACATCCCCGCTCCTGCTCGCCTTGTTGTCCGGGAGCCCGGGTTAACGATGCTGCCAACGCTCCCGTTTGCAAGAGCTACACTGCAAAAGGAAGCTCATTGACATCGGCTTGCTGCGGGCACAGCTGACGGGCATCTCAGAGCAGGGACCAAGGCCGAGTTTCCTGGAATGGAGGATACTCCAGTTGACAAAGATATCCTGTGGCGTATGCAAGGTACCTTGCCCGTGTGCGTCCGATTTCGTTTTCTCCCCGCATCGGAAGCGACGCTGTGGTGCCCTCGATGAGCACGTGTTCCTCTCAGGAGTGTTGCAAGCAGCATCGACAGCCGTTTTCCTTCGCAGAGAAGCTGGTGCGAGTTGCTGCTGAATTGTTGCTGGCCCCCATGCTTTTGCCTCCTCTGTACCCTCGTTGTTTCCTCGTTGTTCAAAGAAAATCTCTTGTGTTCCTTCGCGGCCACAACTGTAGACTCGCACAACTCGAACGCCGTGTCATCCAACCACCACACCCCGTATCAGCCTTGTTGGGCGCAAGGAACACCGCCAGTCGGTGTAGCGGCACGCTTCCGAACAGGCCATCCACTTGGCAGCTGTTTGAATGAGGAAGGTGACTGGAGGAGCCAAGTCCTTCAGGCCAGGAACCGACGGCGACTATTGGCGTTCGGATGGTTGGTTGTGCGGGGAAACAAGCTTGGCATGCATCTGCATTTGTTGGCTCATGATCCGATTGGGAAGGCTGACAATCTTGCCAAGGGGACTTTTGGTCCGGCCAGGTCAAGAGGCATTGGCACTGCTTCGCTTCGTGGACCAGCTGGTTGATGGAAGATCGGTTGCGCATGGAGCTGTGTGTCCAACACTTCGACGCCGTGGGACCGACTTCCATGACTAACGAAAGTCTGGCAGGGGCCCTTTCTCCCCATGAGTTGCTTGTAGGATTCGCTCCTGCATCGTCAGCCATCACGTTACCGGCTTTTGGTCCATGGTTTCGATTTTGGCCCAGGCTGAAATGCGAACGTCGGGTAGGAAACGTTTGTGTGCCCGTCGATAGATGGAGTGGCGGGCGGCCGTCGATATTGTCGGAAGCGGAACCAAGTAAAATGGGAAGAGCCGAAGCACTGAGCGGAGTGTCTCAATGTATAAGTAGTTGCGTGGCATCGGACCATCAAGGTTGAGTAACTGTTCCCGCATATGTCTTGTTGTGCGAAGCGGAAGATTTAGGCACGCCATCGCTACCTACCTAAGCTAGGTGCGTGTGTTGAGGTTGTGGACGCGCCAGTGGCTGGCAGCCACCGAGCTGATCGATCCCATCGAACGCCTTCGGTTGGCCATGTCAAGACATGTGAGCCTCGAATGTCCACGTGTAGGTTACATTGCATTGTTCGGGTGGAGGCGCCAGTGATGGAGGTGTTTGGAAATGACTGTTTTTAGTGATGATGAGGGGTTGTGGTCAGTCAGGCGGAAAGACCCCAATAGCGGGGTATCCACGCTGTTGTGTGTGGCATCTCCAGTGAACATGTGCATCACACACATCTCTGCTTCCAATGCTGATGGAGACAAACCAGCCACGCCACTTCGACTGCGACCAACTGATACTCTGCTCACTCACTTCTTGCCTGAGTCTTAATGAAGCTTTGTTTCGTACCTCGTGGTTTCTTACTATGGGCTGATCGGCCGGGCAAAATTCTATCATTACTCTAGGGTTGAGCCGATGTACCCCTTCTGAGCTAGTCTCATACGCTCCCTAGACAAAGCTACGGCCTTGCCAGCGGAAACAATTTCTGGCGCAACTAGTAGAGACAAGAGCTGTGGAACATCGCTTTCTTCCGGGGCCATGAACAGATGCAGTTGTATAACAAACTGGCTGAAACGGGGCGATGCGGTCAGGACAGTAAGAGGTAGCACAAGGCAGAGACCGGCAACGAAGGGTAGAAACCAAAGCCGTGGCATAGAATAGTTGACAGAGAATATGCCAGCGATGCCAAGCCCGAGTAGTGTTTGCGGCCAGAGGACACGAAAGGTCTCACGCCAGCTAAGGCCAAGCTGGCCCCGGTTTTGGCCATCCCAGTTTATAGACTTGCCACTCAGCATGCTGAAGAAGAAGAACAGGATCGCTACGTCGATAGCTTGCCCGATAAAGGTCATTATGATGAGTTCCAGCACGACAGAGACAGTCCAGCGGAAGTGGCCACCATAGCGTTCGAAAGAGTTTCCAGCATTGTCGAATATACCGACGACCTTAGGTATCAGGCCAATACATAGTACGAGCAGTTGCGGCGTTGGGTCGTATTTGAACTCGGCATCATTATACCCGCCTGATACCCCTTTAGCGATGCCAGCTAAGGTTAATAGGAGCCTGCAAGCCGGGCTGATATATGAAGAAAGAACGTGGTACACATGATACAGGGTGACAGGCGCGAGGCCAGGCTCCTTCAGCAAGAACCAGTACTGCATGCTGCCCTGGCACCATCGATGTTCACGGCGCAGGTAATCGATGAAGGTGGGCGGGCTAGTCTCGTAGCTTTCGACGTGAAGAGGGAGCATACGAACTTCGTAGCCACCGCGGCGCATGAAAATAGCTTCGATGACATCGTGACTAAGGATGTGGCCCCCCAGCGGAGGCTTCCCTTTGAGAACAGGAAGCATGCAGTTCTCGTGAAAGGCCTTTATCCGGATAATGGCGTTGTGGCCCCAGTAAAGCCCGCAGTCGCCAAACCACCAGCTAGTCCCAAGATGACGGAAACGCACGCCATGACGTCTTCCGAACTGTACCATGCGGGTAAAGGTACTGATGGCTGGAATATGAAGGAATTGGGATTGCAATAGGCCGAGTTGAGGGTATCGTTCCATACTTGAGACCATACGAACCAGAAGGTCTCCACCCATCACGCTATCAGAGTCGAGCGTAACCATGAAATCATCGCCCTTGGCATAGTTGACAACATAGTCCATAATATTGCCGGCTTTATAGCCAGAATTCTTCATGCGGCGGCGGTAAAGGGGCTCTCGATACATGCCGATGCCGAGGCTGTCTTTGATACTAGCGAAGACTTGGTCTTCCACTCCCGCTATATCCGGACGACTGGTGTCACTGAGTATAACGAAGCGGAAGTGCTGAAGGTAGCTGATTCGGCGTAGGCTTTCCTGTATAGCCAAGAGGCCTTGAAAGACCGGGATAGGGTCTTCATTACGCATACAGATAACCAACGCCGTTTTCGAGGTGATTTCTGGGAGAGGACCAGAAGCATTGAAATAGGGGTATATAGACTTTTCTGGCTCGCCAAAAGTACTGATGCATAGTCCTATAACGTGGTTCCAGGTATGAATGATATAAGGAGGTGCACAGATAAAAGTACAGAAGAGGATGAAGGCTTCGAGGTTTGTAATGCCGCCTGGTTGAAGCATAGCAAAGGTAGTCCATAATATATAGAATATCGAAGTGATGTTGAGGGCGGCGACCATCAAACGGCGATAGAAAAGTGGCATGCCGGCCGTTTGGATAGGTGTAAGGATGTTGTTGCTCATCTTCAATAGCTCAGTTGTTGTCCGTTCCGTTCATCGTCAAGGTATGTGTTTCATGATCACAGTTCGCACTCCAGCAGATCAGCGGATACTTATAGGCGTCTTTCAATAATGAGCTCCGTGGGTACCAATATTGTCAAGGTGAGAGTATCAACCTCTCGACGCTAGGGCTGGAGTAGATGACAGGAAATAATATCGAAGCTTATAAGGACAAGGGTCCCTTGTAGTACTTACTTGAAGTCTTGTTCTCATCATTCGACTCTGTGGATTCTCTTAGTTTTGCCCGGGACAAAACTGCCCAGTTTCCCAGAGGCTTCTCAAGCGGAGGATTCTCTTAGTTTTGCCCCCGACACAACTGGCTCGTTTCCCAGAGGCTCATCCAGCGGAGGCTTTAAAAGGTGAATATGGTTTATACGACCTACCTTGTACAGGGATAACTGGTGGGGATATGGAAACTGATACGAATGGAATGGAGGAAGGGCCTGCCCTGTGGCCGTGCCTTAAGGCCGCCTGTAACCTAGCACGTGGCCTGGCCTGTGGCCCTGCCGACTTGGGCACGTGGTCTGACCTGTAGGCCCGTGCCTGAAAGGATATCTATACAATGCCTACGTGGCCTTCCAACCCAGGTAGTGCAATTCATCTATCTTACACCTACAGAACAGCCATATAGCTTCTGTCGTATGTTGCTGGCGAGACGCCTGCCTGGTCCCCAAGACCCGACTCTATTCCTAGCCGCAATAGAGCCGTAGCCGTTTCTATGCATAATAGAAACCTGGGCCAACCTATAGAATAAGTACGGTATCTGAGTTAGTAAATGTCATATATAAGGGGACAACATATAGCATATTTACATTCTCCTAGTATAACCTAGTAGGATATCAAGACTAGAGATGCAATATATAAGGGGTATTTAGTTAAAGAGAGGCTTCTACTATTTCAGGTCCTCTAGAACCCCTATTCCTTATATAATCTAATTTATATTTACTCTTCTAAATTATATACTTTTACATAGACGCAAAAAGACTATAGGGGCGGGTCGGTTACTAGCTTATAGTTAGATAGCCTAAATTCAGTGCCCTATATAGGTCGGGTCAGTTCGCCCCACTAATATCAGTCACCCAAGAGGTCGCCTAAGGAAGTAGATAGGTCACCTTATGCATAGGGCACCTCGTACTATATTTACTGCCTAAGGTGAGATTGCGATAGGTCGGTCTAGGTTTCTATACTCCTACGAGTTATCCCTGCATACGTCGTATAAACCATCCCTTTAAACCCGAAGTTGATCTTAGGTATAAAAAATATATACTAGAAGGACATAGCTAACGTAGCAAAAATGAGCTAGATAGCTAACTAAGTTATAGACCTACCCTATAGTATATTAGTAATAAGCTATAATACCTATAATATTAGGTCTACTAGGGTATATAGTGAGGATCTTAGGTGGATTACGTTAGACTAAGGTAAGGTCCCAGGTACTACGTAAGGTAGCAAAGGTAGCGGCGCTAAACTTAATTATGAAGGCAGTGTAAGGCTTATAGGGCGCTTGTTATACCTAAGATCAATTTCGGGTTTAAAGGGATAAACTCTTTCTAAGGCGAGTCCTACAGTGGTATGTGGTAAGCTTTGAGAAGTCACCCAGTACCGACCAGGGCACGACTAGGGGCTTATTATTCATCGACTTCCCCATCGACTGCCCTGGCAATTTATCTATATCTCATTGGCTCATGGACCAGCCTTATTAAGGTGGTATAATTTTGTGCAAGAAATGGAACCCCCAGCTGTTGTACCCTCTAAGCGTGCCCCACTTATAGGGGTTAAAGATACCTGACAGGCTATCGAAACTTTTGCCTGTAACTATGTAATGTCATCTTTCAGTGTTACGGTTGGGATGCTGAAAGCTAATCATGATGGTTCCCTGTCCAAAGGCATGGGTACTTTGACATGTTGGCCGTACACTTCGGGTCTCTCCGCCTCACGTACATGTACTAAGCTTACTGTCAACATTACGAAAGCTGGATCAAATACGACGGGCGGCATACAATACGCTGCTCTACAAAGGGAATGAGACTTTTCGTCTCAAGTGGGATTGAGAATCTTCAGAAAGCCAATGTATAGTGAATGCGGGCGGATTAAGGCAATTTCAACTTTGCTCTCCGCTGGAACTGTTCCCTTGACGAGGGTCATCTTTCTTGACATGCCCCCTGGGTCTCCATCGCCGCCCCTACTGCGCCTTCTCCTAGGCGTACGCAACTTTCTCTCATCAGCTTCGATTACTACGGCAACTTCTTCTACCTGCCGATATACTTTCAGTCCGTCCTCGCGTACGCGCCTCTGGTCTCTGGTGACCTGATGCTTTCCACCGTTGGCACCACATCCTTTGGCTCTATCCTCGATGGACAGCTCATGGGCCGGTGGGGAGGTACATGCCGTGCATCCTCGTCGGCTTCGTCCTGCGAACTCTCTGCGCAGGGTCTAAGCTCATTTCATTTTCAAATACAACACCGGACTCGGCGCACTGACAAAGAGTCTCGTCGAGGAAGGCGCGGAGATTGGACTGACGCTGCGGCCGACGCTGGCGGACACGTACGCCAGCAGCCGAAGCGAGGACCGAGTCGTGACGACAGGGCTGCGGAAATTGGTAGGACCCTTGGCGGCGCATTCGGGCTCGTTGTTTCGGGTGCCATCCTGTCGAATGCCCTTAGCCGCGACCTGACGCAGCGTGGATACATGGATGAAAAGGAGGTGGCAAGTCTGACGATCTCAATGTATGCGCCCGGCGTCGTAAAGCTTGAAGAAAAAGGGGTACAGTATACTGGCAGTATACACGAAGGGGTTGCACCACATTTCCATATTCTACATGTACGCCGTCTGCGCTGCGCTGGCTTTGGCGCTGACTGCGGGCCATGCGAGCCTGAAGGTCAAGGCCCTTCCTGCTGAGCAGCCAAAGACCCTGGAGGCATCTGGCGACGATGAGGTTGGAAGAACGAACAGGGCAGAGAGGGGAGAGGCTGAAGGTCAGGCTTGACTTGAATACATGTAGTCGAGATTCCGCATATTTGCGGCAGTGGTACGAGCACAGGCAAGATAGTAGAGGAGGGTAGCGTGGAGATCCATTGTTACATCGCCAAACAGTGGAAGAGCGGCAGTATTTGGTGTTACATGTTAGTGGTGGCACTCACGTGGTCAGTGCTATTCGCCTCGCCTGGTGGCACGTGCTGCCTCGCATAGGTACCTGGGTACCTTAGCTCACCTACCGCTAGGTAGGTACCTTGAGGTGCCTTATGTTGGTAGTGGTCTGGAGAAAAGGGGTTGTTATTAGGAAGTTATTCTACAGGGCCGGAGGGTGCCTGGAACTAAGCTATGGGAGGCAACAGGGCACGGGCCACCTGGCACCAGGTGAATGCCACTGACCAGGTGAGTTCCATCAACACCTGAAGGTACCTACCTAAGTTCTCGGCACCCTCCTGCCCTGCTGAATAGCTTCTCAATACACACCTTTCTTCCACACACGACCTCCTCCAATACATGGCGTTGAAACAGGTTGACTGCGCTCCAAGTTCACAGATTCCCTTGATCAGGGATGAATGGAGCATTTTCACCGTTGATAGACTCAGCACCAAGCTACACCAGCACTTGTCAACCGCTGGATTCCGGTGCCGGCATCGCGTAATTGGCCCACATGCGAGAACACAACACCCCACGCCCACACACATGCCGCTTATCGCAGGCCGCCAACACTGGGGGGCGCCGCCAGTCGGCAGCGTCCAGGGCGACGTGCACATAACGTTTTGGACACCCCCCCGATGGCGGCGGGGTTCCGCGCGGGGAGAGAGTGCGGCGGCGTCACAGAACGCCACGACCGAGTTGGCCCCTTGTACAAGCACGACTGTCCTGTCTGTCTGCCGTCGCTCTGCAAGAGCAACTTTTCATGCAGACTCACCCACATGCAGCTGTCGACAGGCTCGTGATCACAGTTCAGTGCCGACGCAAGCCAGCAAACCGGACCTTACCAAATCATCATACTCGCCATGGCCGACGACCTGTACCGGCTCACAGCCAGTGAGGTCGCAGCCAAGGTGCAGTCCGGCCAAGTCACCATTGAGGAGTACGCTCGCTCGCTGCTCTCACGCATCGAGGCACGCGACCCCGTCGTCAAGGCCTGGGCATACCTCGACCCCGAGCGAGTCATGGCCGAGGCGAGAAGGCTGGACCAAGTGCCCCTCGAGGAACGCGGCCCGCTGCACGGCGTGGCCATTGGCGTCAAAGATGTCATCTTCACAAAAGGTGAGAGAGCCTACGTTGCCTCTTTCGTCCTCACCATCGTTGCACGCCGCCTTTCCTGACGAAAATCCCAAGCTGACGCGCCAAAGACATGCCCACGCAGTTCAACTCGCCCCTGTACACCGACAACGCACCGCACGTAGACGCCGCCTCCATCATCATCCTCCGCCAAGCCGGCGCCCTCCTCGTCGGCAAGACGACGACGACAGAGTTCGCAGCGACGACGCGCGGGCCGGCAACGACGAACCCGCACGACCCGTCGCGCACGCCCGGCGGCTCCTCGGCCGGCTCGGGCGCCGCCGTCGCCGACTTCCAGTGCGCCGTCGCCCTGGGCACGCAGACGGGCGGCAGCATGATCCGGCCGGGCTCCTTCAACGGCGTGTACGCGTTCAAGCCGACGTGGGGCGCCGTGTCGCGCGAGGGGCAGAAGCTGTACTCGTTGACCTTTGACACGCTGGGCGTGTTTGCGCGGGGCGTGGCCGACCTCGAGCTCATGGCCCACGTGTTTGCGCTCGAGGACGATGATGACGACGACGACGACGACGAAGCTGGCGTGGGGCCACCGGCGAAGACGACGACGGGCTTTCAGGTCCAGGGGGCCAGATTTGCCGTGTGCAAGACCATGGTCTGGCCGCATGCTGGGCCGGGGACCGTCGGGGCGTTGCAGCGTGCCGTCGAGCTGCTGAGGGCGCAGGGCGCCAACGTCGAGGAAATCTCATTCCCCGAGAGCCTGGCGGATCTGCCCAAGTGGCACGCCACGGTGCTGGATGCCGAAGGTCGAGCAGCATTTCTGCCAGAGTATCGCGCCGGCAAAGACAAGATTGCGCATCTTCTCATCGGACACGTCGAGAACAGAGGCAGAACCTCACGCGCAGAGCATCTCAAGGCCCTTGACAGCATTGCGGCGGCAAGGCCCGTGGTGGATGCCATGCTGAGCAAGTACGCGGCCGTCCTGGTGCCGAGTGTGCCAGATGAAGCGCCCGAGGGCATCGAATGGACAGGGAACGCGGCGTTCAACGTCATCTGGACGGTATGTATGCTTCGCTTGGCGCAGCTGCCTCTCTCGCTGACTCGAATGCTAGGCCCTTCATACGCCGGTTGTCAATGTCCCCGGATTCAAGGGTGGCCGTGGAATGCCCGTCGGCGTGTCGCTGGTAGCCCCGAGGTACCGCGACAGGCATCTTCTCAAGGTAAGCAAAAAGGTCGGCGAGATCTTCGAGGCTGAGGGTGGGTGGAAGCCATCAAACTAACCCCTGACCACCTATACATGGCCGCTTGAGACAATGGCGAAGGAGCACCCTGTTCGTTGTCCATTGTCGTGCGTCAGGCATACATGACTCCGTCAATTCACTTGGTCTTCATCATGGTGATGGATTGCATTTGCAAGACGGTCTTCGTAATGATAACCCTAGTAGCATACCATATGTGTATACCTAGTCCATGTATCAAGATAAGGAGCGTACCCCATCTGACCAGGTGGTACGATATCCGTCACAGTAGCATCACGCAAAAACAGGCAGCAGAGCCCGAACTGGTGACAAAGCGATACCATTCCATGCAAGTGGTATCATTGCGGCCCGTAGACCGGCATCTATATGAGTCATTACCGGATATTCAAATCACAACAATCCATTCTTCCCAAACCATCCTCCCCATCTTTTCCTGCATTCAGGTCGTTCCAAGGCGGGACTCTTAAAGATAGAGGTTGCCATGCCGTCTAAGCCCACTTTCCGAGGAAGCTCATGAGCGCCATGCCAGCCATGAGACCGAACAACGAAAGAGCCGTGACAATGGGGCTCGAGTTCATAAGCTCCGAGTTGGGGTACATCCAGTCCTCGGCCCACATCTCGACAAGGCCAACCCAGACAAGGATACCCGCCGACAGGGCGTCGAGAGTGCCGATGGCGACGATGGTGTCGGGGTCGTTGCCGTTAAAAAAGTCGAGGACGGCGATACCGATGGCCATGCCAAGGGGAGTGATGAGCGCAAAGGCACTAGCGAGAAGACACTTCTTCTTGAGAGAGTAGTAGGCGGGCTTGAGAGAGTCGGTTGTCGAGTGGTCGGATGCGTCGGCCGAGGGAGTAATGGCAGGGTCCGTGTCGCTGGCGCTCTTAGTCTGGGCGACTTGAGTTGACCCGTGGCCGTGACCATGGCCAGAGGCCGCGTGAACAGGGGATACAGTGCCGAGAGCGGCAATGCGGCTGCCGAGGGCGAGGCCCTCAAACATCTGGTGGAAAATGATGACGATGAGGAGCGTACGGAAGAAGCTGTCCCCAGTGACGACCAGGGTGATACCGATGACTACATGGTGTGAGCGAAACGTCCTGCAAGATTTCGCACGTCGAGCAACTTACGGATCGAGTGGAACAGAATTCCAGCCTCCAGCACCATGATGCTCACAGTTTCTGGCCGGAACCAAGATTTGGCATCTGGCCCTTCAGCAAGCTTCCTCTTGACGATGCGCTGGCCGATGTACTCGACGAGGAACGAGAGGAAGATGCCAGCCATGACAATGGCGGATGTGGTACCCTCGTAGCCGAGCGAACCCAGGCAGGGATTAGCAAACATGAGTTGCGCGTGGGTGTACAGGTGGACAAAGGCGGTCGAGATGATAACACCGGTGCCGAACTGCTTGATGATGAGGAAGATGACGTGCAGTTTCGACGGCAGCACACGCATGAGGAAAATAGGACCAAAGACAGCAATGGCGCTGGTCACGAGAATGACAAAGAGCAGGCCTACACGCAGGGGGATGTCGTAGTCACGGTCGACCCTCTCGCAGGACCGTGTGCCACCGCTCTCGCTCTCGCCAGGGCTGACGCAGTGCTCGACACCGGCGTGGAAGTGGCAGTTCTCGCCCTGAGGGTCGCCGCTGGCACTCTCGTCGGCGCTAGCCTCTTGACCCTCAGCAACAGCCTGAACATCGGCCCCGGCCTCATCAACGCAGAAGAGCTCCGTGCCGTGAGAGTGACAGTCGGTAAACTGTGCGGGAATGTCTTGCGTCGCCGTTGCCGTAGTGTCCATGGAGTACTCGGTGGTGCCGTGCATACAGTAGACGGCGGCCTCGTGGGGGTGACAGCTCGTCAAAACAGTCGGAGCCGCTTCTGCGGTGGATGCCTCCGTTTCCGGCGCAACGGTAGCACTGGCCAGGACAACCTGGACCTCTGCACCACCTTCATAGAAGCAGTACCTGGGGCAGAGTTAGCATCGAGCCAGATAGGACGATCCGAGGGCAGGACTTACAGGTCGGTGTCATGAGCGTGACATCCGGTGTATGAGCTGGGAAGGTCACCAGTGGTAGGCGTCGCAACAACCCTGAACTCTGTGTTGTCGCCGGTGCAGTACCTGATGAAGATGAGTACAGTTCCATCTTCCAAGGGTATCGTGATGAACCTACTGTGTGCTGGCGACAACCTCACATTGTGATATGGCTGACACATCGGGAACGGCAGCTTGTCTCGCAGCTACACGGGGGGCTGGTGTCTCGCGAGCAACAACGTGTGCCGAGGCGGCAACACTAGCCACGAGGCCAGCGGCGGCAGCGAGGGCCGAGACATGAAGTCGAGCCATGGCGTCAAGAATGGGCACAGGCAGACGAGGAGGAGGAGAGCGGAGGAGGAGGAGATAAGATAGGGAGCCGAGAGACACGGGATGACTGAGCTCTCACGATGAGGTGCGAGGCAAAGCGGTCAGGGTTCCACGTGAGGTGGCAGGCGGTCTGCAGTCGGGCAATGCAGGTGCGGATGATGATGCAAAGTGTAAGGCACGATTCAGCAGGTGCGAGGATCCTTTAGTAGGTCGTATCAAGCGGCGAGTGCTCCGTCAGTGGGACGATGATGGTTGGCAGGGTTTTCTTTGCCAGAGTCGAGGTTTCTCACGGCGCCAACACCTTGAGGGTTCAATGGGCCTGATGGATACCGGTTGTCGACGCGGGATGAGGGATGAGGGACCAACGTCAATGGAGGGGGGGCGGCAGCACAAGCAAGGCTGGGGCGGAGTGATGCTTGCAGGATGGATAGAAAGATTGATCAACGGATTGTGTGCCGGCGGCGGCGGGCGGGCGGGGAGAAGGGCGGGCTTGAGTGTGTCGAGGCCTCGGTACTTTCGTGCGAGGGAAGAAGCGAGATCGAGGCAGGACGGATTCGAAGCTGGTCGAGTGACAAAATCGGAAAGACCGTTGACAGGGACAAGGGGTAGAGGAGGCGAGTCGACGGCGGCCGACTGTCTAGGGTCAGGGTCTAGTCTAGGATCCTGTCGAAGGACGTTGAGGCACGTTGTCGGTCTGGCACCTGGGACTGTGAGCCAAGGTAGAGAAGAGAGAAAGAGAACAGACAGAGGAGAGAGGCCGAAGTGTGCCATCGAGCCGGGGCGGGCTGCGGTGGTGGTGCGGTACGGTGACACGCAGCATGTGGCCGACGGCCTCGAGTCCGCGATGGATGGTGCCAAGGCGCCGGGTTTTCCAGAACAGCGGGTTAGGAAAAACAAAAGATGACAAGGCAGCAAAAGCCAGAGGTCAGTGTGTGCGCATCTCGAGTTGAGGGCCGGGCGGCAACCTTGATGGCCACGATCTGGATCCACATCCCACTTTCGTCGGTCGCTGTTGCCCATCTGGATGTGGGTGAGGACCCGGATGGCCTGCCTTTCTCTGGGCAGGTTCCACTTCCAGCCTCTTGCCCGCGCAAATGGCAAGCGCGTCATGTTGCTGACTTCCTGCGCTTGGGGTGGCATCGATTTAGAATGCCTACCTCAGGTATCTGAGATCAAGTGCCTTGAGTAACAGTGCGGATAGGCCATACTAGAATTGTCTCATTCCATAGGTACTCAGCCCATCGCGTGAGGTCCTCTACATGCGGCATTGTGAAGCCGACAGAAAGATGCCACTGACCTTAACCTTAACTCTAGATGGATGGATCTGGCAAGAGCAGCCAACACACGGCTGCTCCACTCCTGCCGGCCAAGCTTAAATCCCGCGTCGCCTTCCCCTTCCGAGAACCTTGATGGCCGCGCTAGTCTCACAAACCCCACATTCGACCTCACCTCCTCCACCGCCTGTTGACCCTCGCCTGAGGTGCGATGAAGGACGGCCCAGTGCTGTGTGCGGCGGAGACCTGGCTCACCAAGATGGGTGTTGGTTAATCAAGCTCGGTTGACCACGAGGGCCTGTCGATGCGGTCGGGCAGAGGCCGCTCTCGCTTAGCCTGTGGTCTGGCCGTGTCTGGTCGTGAGAACCGATGAGGAGACAGGCAAACAGAGGGACACCTTTTCCGCGAATGGAACCAAAAGTATGTCTCAAAGAGAGTTGTACCCTACTTTTAAGCTTATCCTGAAGCCTATAACTCGCCATGTATTCTCCCGACTCGTGCTCTGCTACACGATGCCGTGTCCACCGAAGTCACGCGGTTGTGGCTGGTGCTCTTCATAGGGCACTGCAGCAAGTGAGCGTGGGCGAGGGTATTGGAGACACACTTCGCAAGGCTATACTCTACTGCGTCCATAGAAACCAACTTGGCTGTGCATGTTCATAGCCTTTCTTCCGTTTGCAAAGACCATACTCCCTGCTGGCTACTCACTGGTTCGCTGTGGCGTGGATCAGACACACCACATCAGCTTGTGTTGTAGTGGTTGAACTCACAGCGCATCATCTTCGCACACGGCCTCGTGACATGTTATGCAAGGGCCACGCCCAATTCATTCTATGGTTCTAATATTCGGTCGATCCGTAATGTACAGGCCGAGCATGCCTTCACAGGAAGAAAAGGCAACACAGAATCTCGACCTACAGAAAAGAAGAAGACAAAACGTTGCCCCAGAGCCTCGGCTCATTTTTTCATTCCCATCGCATTACATGCTGCACGATTTGCAGTATTTTGCAGACCAAAAACAACAGACACAAGACATGCCGATTCCTCGTCTTCCGCTTACAGGGCGAGCAGGGCGGCGACAGCGACGACACCCATGCCGGCGGCGACGTTGGCGGCACCGGCCTCGGTGACGTCGGAGGGGGTGGAGGAGGCGGCAGCATCGTCACCGGTGGTGCCGGCGGACGAGGTCGTGGCGTTGGACGCAGGGGCAGGGCCCTCGCAGTGCCAATGGTCGCCGTGGGGCTCGCAGCCGACGGACTGGGTGGGCGCAGGGGGGAGGTCGGGGTGGACGGAAGCCGAGGCGGAGGTGGTCACCTGGGCGCCCGTCTCGACAGCGGCCTCGCAGTGCCAGTGGTCGCCGTGGGGCTCGCAGCCGGTGGAGGCGGTGGGAGAGGGAGGGAGCGAGGGGTGGAGAGACTCGGAGCCGTGAGACTCGTGGTCGTGGTCGTGATCATGGTCGTGATCATGGTCGTGGTCGTGGTCCTCGGCGGCGGCGGTGGTGGTGGTGACGGCGGCGGCGGAAGAGGCGACGGCCGAGTCGACGGCAGCGTTAGTGGGGGCAGGGCCCTCGCAGTGCCTGGCAAAAGTCAGCATCTCCTGTGAGACAAGTGTTGTGAGGCTGGAACAAACTCACCAGTGGTCGTCGTGGGGCACGCAACCGATGGACTCGGTGGGCGCGGGGGGCAGAGACTGAGCAACCGAGACGGAAGCAAGGCCCATGAGGGCGAGGATCTGAGCAGCCTTCATGTTGATGGTGGTAGGGTATCAGTGTAAGGTGGAATGGGCTGTTGTGGATTGATTGTACAGGTCCAAGCGAATGCAGACTCTTCGGTGGGAAACGAATGTGAAGGTGAGAAGCAAGAGAGTCAGGCAGAAGAGTTACCGAGTGCGCCAGAGCTTTATATTCAAGGTACGCTTGTGCCACGAGCTGTGGCTGGACGGCGCCGGGCCATGCTGAGAGTGGTGCCAACGCCTTGTACCAGGATGAGACCTTGTAGTCAGAATGCGGGCGGATTGCTTGGCATCAGAACGAAGCGCCTCGATTCCCTGATGCGATGTGCGTCGGCCCCGGTCCGGGATAGAGACATTGGAATCGAGACGTGAGCAAGTAAGTGTCTGGTTGCACAGATGAGCCCACCAGGGTCCTATTGGCCCATATGTCGCCTCATGCTTCGAAGCAAGGCATTGCTACCTTGCCACCCGTTCAATTCAGCTGCTAAATCGACCAGGATCGAATTCTCAGGATCAGGGCCCTCAAGCTGGAGGGAGCGGGTGGTCTTGGCAGTGGCTCCAGTCCGTCTCCCCATCCGGGCCATCAGGGTCCTCACGAGGAGGATGGAGGGTCTCTTCCCGCTTTCGGACATGGTGCATCCACCAACCACCACACCAATGCCGACTTCTGCTCGGCCTAGGTAGCTTGTCGTCATTCTGCCTCTGGTCACTGTCGGTGGTTGTGAGAAAAGCTCCTCATAACGGGCCTCGCCCCCTCCCTAGTTGCGGCCCCCATACGAGTCAACCTTGATGGAAATGAGCCTGCTCACCTCTTCAGCCGGCCAGCCTCGTTGCCACCAGCCGTTTTGTTCAGCCAGCAGGTCGTGTCGATCGTCTTGGCCCTTACTAGTTCTGATCCTTTCAATCCTGACAGACGAGAGCCTCGCCTGGGTCTACACATGGACTCGTCTAACCTCGACGGCCCTTGTTGGCGATTCTGACTCGGCTCACGGTTGCCGGATAATGATTGCTGCAGAATACGAAACCATAGTCCTCAGCCAAGTCATCATGCCCAGGGATTCAATCTTCAGCCCATCACTGTGCTTGAAAAGAGATGCCCCCACGTATCACAAACAGTCGAGCTAGCAGTGGATGCGACTAGCGAAAGCTCTGCCCACCCTCATAGCTGGCATGGGAAGGTGATACAACGAGCAGACCCTTCGAAGTCCTTTTCAAGGTCTTCGGACACTATGGCACATGGTAAAAGTGGGCAAGTTCCGGTCTTGGCTTCTGGGCAAATGGAGCCACTTTGATGTTGTTATGATGGGCCTAAATGCAGATCAAGTCCTTTTCACCAACGTGACTGAGATTGCAGACATCTGGTGTGTCAAATCACTTGCAAAGACAATGATGGATCAGTCAGGTCAAATTGAGGGTTCGGTCTACAAACGAGACCGCCTAGCAAGCCTCCCAGGGTTGACAGACCTGCCCCTCGTCGTCAACGCCGACTGACTGAAGGTAAACAACGACTACGGAGCACATGGCAAACCCTCCAAGCTATCTTGACCTGACCTTCGATCCAGCTTGATCCGAGCAACAAGTCTCCGCAATCATGCAAACGCACTGCACTTCCACTCTGAGAAGCGACCCGGCTTCATGCCCGGGCAGTGCACTGCCATCAATCTCACCCCTCTTAGACGACACCAGCGGCGTCTTCCTCAGCTTGTTTAATGAGACGCTGAACATGCCAGTGCACAAGGTCCCGAGCAGCCATGGCGTCTTCGAGGCTGTCGTGTCCGCGACCCATCTGAATCTGGCGACCGAGTCTCTCCTGAGCCAGGCTCTTGAGGCTGAGCTTGCCACGCTGCGACGACTGCTGTTTCTTCTCCTTCTTCTCGTCAACCTTTCCGGCATCAGCAGACGGGCCAGGGCCGCCCTCGAGCCACTGACGCTCAGCCTCGGCAGACTCGCGGTCGGCCTCCTCCTGCTCCCGCTTGGCCTTCTGGTAAGCAGCCTCGACAAGGTACGAGTCGACGATGACGGGGTGGATCCAGTTGAGGGCAGACAGGTCCGAGTTGCCTCCATGGACGACGACAATGGTCTGGGGTCCGATGTACTTGAGAATCTGGAGGCGAGCAATGCCGGTGCCCATGATGCAGAGGCCATCGCGCTGGGCCTGCTTCAGTTGCGGCCAGGTGACGCCCGAATACTGGGTGTTGAGGTGGGCCATGTTGACGTCGGGCCAGACGAGGTGGTTGATGAGGACCTCGGCCGTGAAGTAGTCAATGAGGGTGACGCGAACGAGCTGGGGCTCATTGTCAAAGGCAGTGCCCATCTCGCAGTCGAGAGCGACGGCACTGCGGATGAGCTTCGGGCTGCGAAAGTACTCGTGGGCACGCGGGGTGTTGTAGCACTGGAAGCGGACGGTCATCTCCTTCAGGCTGAACTCGCGGGGAAGGTGCTCGTTGTCGTGCATGCAACCGGGCTGGGAGACATGCTGGTTGCAGCAAGTCCAGACCTGGAAGTATCCTCAGCGTCTGCGCATTTCCAGAGACCACGATCAAGTGGGTACAGGTTTCTCTCGCTTTGGCAAAAGAGGACAAAGAATGTTCATGGACAACGTCACTTACCTTGTTCTTGATCTCACCGCTGTGCCAGTTACATCTGAACTTGCCCTCTCCCTGGTGCTCCTTCTGATGTTCGTTGATATCCTGAGCAACCTGCTTTCCGAGAGCGTTGGTGCTGAGTTTGGCAGAGTTCTCGCCGGTGTTGCTGGGGCACGACTTGACGCGAGTGCTTTCATTCTTGCGAGGAGTAGACCGTCCCTTGCTGCCAGCACTGCCGCTAACAGCGGCATCAAAGACGCGAACATTAGGAAGGGTATCAGCCACGTTCTGAGCGACAGAAACGGTGGCGGCAATGGGCTTCTTGCAGACGCCTGTTTTTCGTCGTCAAAAAATTAGCTCGACTCTTTTAGGAAAGAGACTCCACGATACGAAAGTCGATGGTAAGCCGCATTTCGTGGCGTTTCGTGGTATTTCGTGACACGAAATGACCCACGCCATCCATGGACGCATCAGGAAGGAAGGCACAGAAGACAGATGGAAACTCACAACGCGAATCGCACCGTTGGCAGCGATTCTTGGCCTCGAGATCATTGATGGAGAGCTGCTTTATGATGTAGCCTCCCTTCTTCAGCTCAGGGCTGCTTGAGGTCAGCCTGGTGAGGTACCGCATGTACTCGGCGTCGGGTTCAATCTGGACGGCATGCGGGCCTAAGTCTTTGCTCTGGGCAGAGCCCTTGCGGGAACCAGTATTCTGCTTAGGCATCTTTCAATGACGAATCCGGCGTGATCTGATGTTATTGCGGTGTTGGTGACGCTGATAACGCCAGCGGTTGTGTTGGCGGGTTGGGGGTGCTGGTTGCAGGAGGTGATGGGTCTAGGTTGGGAGTTTGGTAAGTGCGTAGAAATCCAGGCACAAACAATCTTTCTATGTAGCTGTATTTCTCCATACAACGGCAGGAGCGGTTTGTCTATTGTTTTTCTTTCAGTTGTCTGCGCATTCACCGATACGCGACGCGCTTGTCATTTAATCGTTTGGCAGGTTAGCTTGCTCACAATCCTTGAGCAGGTACACTGTGGGATATCTTTCATACTTTGTCACTTTCTACTTTTCTCTATCAGACTACCTCGCGATGACGGTATTCTGGTGCCATAAACAAAGCAGCCCATATCCCAACATCGCTCGCAAAGAACTGCGTTCAGTACTGAACGTGCACGAGGATCGCCCTTTCAGAGGTTAAAGCCGCAGCCACATTTGCTCCCCTAAAACAAGGCATCTACAAAGGTATTCATAGAATAGATTTTCTCTGTAGTGCCATTTCTGAAGAGAGGAGGACTCGAAATTTCATCACAGAGAAAAGGTCCAAAGCCCGAGCACGACACTGGGATGGCTGAAACCAGTAAAGAATAAGGACACGGCCATTTCCTCTTTGTCCATAAAGTCCTACACCCGCCTGCCCAATTTTCATTCGCCATAGTCATTGGCTCAAAAACGGGAAGTTTGCCATTCTAGTTGTCAATGCTATGCACATTCTAGCTTCCATGTTCGCTTTTACTTCATATGACCGTGGTACTGCCAGCCCAGCTTACCAGGAGTTTTGAAGATGATCTTAAGCCGCGATCGCCACACTGCAGACTTACGATGGCATCCGTCATAGCATGTGATTGTTGCTGAGCCAAATTCCGACACCCGGGAGTCGGTTAGATAAGTTGGCTGGGGTTGATCGTTGGTTCCGTATGGAGGAATTCACTTTCTCGCCATGTCCAAAACCCTCACTCGACATCGGTTGGCTTACGTCATGTGTCTTTCCAAGATGACCCTGTGATAAATTTGAAGTGACTATTGTTTTCCAACCTCAACCTATTACTTCGTTGAGGTAAGAACGATTACCAAATCTGCATTTGCGAGCCAAGATGTACAGGCCTACTGGCGTGGCAAGATGTGACCAAAAATGTTCCAGGCGACAGTTTATGTACATGGCCGTAAGAGTACCGTAGGCAGAGTAAACGCAAACCTGCCCATTGTGTCTCCTAGAGCGGGCAGATTGAACTTTTCGCAGATGATGGATCTACCTGAGCAAATTCTCTACCTGAGGCGTAATGTCAATCAGGGGAAAGCTCATCCTGTTTCCAGCAAGAGTGCCTGGCACCCGCGCATCACCGAAGAACTCGGTGACGGCATAGATCGACTCGCCAATCTGAAGAAAGGCCACCGTAGTACCCCCTCGGAGAGAAAACTGTTGGGAATCACTCCAAGGTTCTCGGCAGTGTTTCACTTGCCATCCGATGAGCGGAGAACATAGGTTCCGTTGACGTTGTCGGAGATGAGAAGAGCCCTGTCCGAGTAACGATGAGGCAGGTAGGCGCCGTCCAGGTTGATACCGATCGGACCGTTCCCAGACGACAGTGGGATTCTGACGGGAGTGCCCTTCTGAGCGCGAATGTTAAACTTGTAGAGCTGTCCATCCATATTGTCGCTGACTATCAGATTCTTGCCAATGTTGACGATGCCACTGTAGCCGTGGACTGTGTGATCGGGCAGGGTTGCAAGGTACCAAGGCGTGGCCTGCTTTCCATCGGCGTTGACGCGGATGATGCTGTTTGAGCAAGTGCCGAGCACAAAGGCATTGCCCAGCTCATCGTGCTCAACGTCCGGGTACCCACTGTAGACACCATATGTGACTGCAATCAGATTCGTTTTTCAAAGGACCCGATCGTCCTGTGGACCGTATTTGACGAGAAAGTTGTCGCCCGAAATGTTTTGGCCTCCAGTTTCGAAGGATGAGCCGGCGTCAATCACGATGAAGAGCCGATCCCGGGGATCGACCTGAACGCCATTCGAGTGCAGGAGAGGGTTTCCACTGAGTCCCGGGACTGTGAGGGTCTCAACGACAGAATTCTTGTTAGGGTCCTATCCTGCAACAGTGGCGTTATAGAGGACACTGAATGTAAGGTCAACAGGGGTAGTACGGGGCCAGGTGTTATATGATGTATAACCCGCCTGAAATACGCCACACAGCGCTTGGCATCAAAATCGGTATTTTCTGGGTATAGCTGGAAAGCATCGATCGTGAGATCGCCTTTGACCTCCAGTCGCACAACCTGGCCAGCACTGAAGGGAAAACGACCACAAGGAACGATGCGTGACGGCGAATGATTATTAAGCGAAAATGCTTTGGTGTATGGTAAGGCAGGCAAGTAGTACAGGTTTGCGCCGTCGAGATTGACCCATGCAGCCTTGTGAGACCTCGCGCGGTCCCCCTTGCATGATGCCAAGCAATCTCTTTTATACGGACAGCTGGATCAGGGAGATCTTCAGAGGTCGCGCCTCCCGCTCCCCCGCCTCCCGCCATCGCAATCGCTACTCACATCATCGTCTTGCGTCACGTTCCATCTTCGTAAAAACCCGGGACCAGTTTGACTCCGGACCCGGCACGCCAACCAAGTGGGGCTCGCGTGGTGTTGATAATCAGATGGGGCTCTTGCTGTCAAATCCATCGGAACGAAGCCTTGGTCAAGCTCCCTTGATCATGCTCGGAATGTCCCTTGACCAAACAGATGGTGGCTGCCCCGCCTTCTCCTGCGTTGGCAGGCTCGAGAAGCTACCAGTAGAACTCGTAATAATGAAACAGGCGGGATTGGAAATCCTCCGACGGTGACCGATGCTTTCATCAGTCACACTTGCGCAGGTGGGGCGTCCCACGTTGGAAGCTGAGCGAAGCTTGCTTGACACGCCATTCCGGTCTTGCTTTAGGATTCCCTCGTCAAATGGAGACGCCGACGAAGATGGGCTGGACCCAGACCGGCAGTTGCCATTTCAGCATGGTTTGAGCATAGGTCGCGTCGCCATTAGCTGCTTACATGACGAGATTTGATGCCGAACTCCATCCCCCCTTCCCAAGTCCAGCCAGAGGGAGAGAGGGAATGCCTATATTAGGAGTCAACCCATCCATTCACCAAACTCAATCGGCCCTACAATCATCATACTCACTTCAACACCTCGGAAACACACTTCTTCATTCAGCCTATCCGTCGCCTCCATCAACGATACCCAGGATCCTTCCTACTCAGTCTGCTCAATATGTCTGCCATCAAGAATGTCGCTCACGCCGGCGTACGTTTCTCCTCTCGGCAGCTGATCGTTTCAGCTTCTAACCAGTGTCCATCATAGGCCGTCGGTGCTCTCGGTGAGCCTGTTCTCACAGAGCTCGTCAACGCTGGCTTCAACGTGACCGTCCTCACCAGAGCTGCTGGCAAGGTGCCTGCTGGCTTCGCAGACAAGGTCAAGGAGGTTGTCGTCGACTACAACGACCCCGCTTCCCTGAAGTCCGCGCTAGCTGGCATCGACGCCGTCGTCTCCACCCTCGGCGCCCCCGCGGTGGGTGAGCCCCAGCGCAACCTTGTCGAGGCGGCGGTCGAGGCCGGCGTCCAGCGCTTCATCCCTTCCAACTTTGGCTGCGATCACCAGAACGCCCTGGCACGCCAGCTTCCCGTCTTCGCCGAGAAGATCAAGACGGAAGAACTCCTCGTCGAGAAGGCCAAGAACACCCCTCTCTCCTACACATTCGTCTACACCAACCTCTTCCTCGACTGGGGCATCGCCTACGGCAGCCTGCTCAACGTCAAGGAGAAGGTTGTCAACCAGTACAACGGAGGCAAGCTGCCTATCAGCGTCACCCGCCTGGAGACGATCGGCAAGGCTGTCGTCGGCGTCCTCAAGAACCCCGAGGCAACGGCGAACCGAAGCGTGCGCATCGAGGACGCCAAGCTCTCCAACAGCCAGGTCGCCCAGTGGGCGCAGGAGGCTATCCCAGGCAGCTGGAGCACCCCCGCAATCGACAGCAGCGAGCTCAAGGCCAAGTCAGACGAGGCTCTCAGCAAGGGTATCTTTGAGGGTTGGGTCTGGTTCAACTACATTGTGCATGGCGCCACCACCGAGTCGTACGGCCCTAGCTTCCAGAATGTCGACAACGAGCTTCTTGGTCTCAAGGGTCTCTCTGGGCAGGAGTTGGAGGATTATGTGAAGACTCACATCAAGCAGAACGCTTAAGCGAATATGTAGGGACTTCAATACCCAGTCATGATAATGAACAATGTCAACTTAATCGTCAAGTCTAACCCTTTCCTCATTCGGCAACTGTATGGTTTGGAATATATCTTTTGCACAATTGACATCAAATGACGACAGACTGAAAACTTTCAACCGATCAAGTAATAGCGATTTTATCCTGAGTATCTCACTTCTTTACCCCACCATGAAGTCCACTGCTCTGACCAACAATTATTCTATATGTACTCTTCTTTCATAAAACTGCCATGACGTGTATGCGATTTCCGCTGCTACATGGCTCTAACGTCCAAAATTCCGAGACCTTCTCTATACCGTGATCCAGCGCGCCATCCAGGTGTCAACAATCTCCTTCGCCTCATCGACGAGACCGAGATCCAAAAGTAGCTGCGTGGTTCCCCGCACAGCAGATTCAAGGGCTGAAAAGATCCAGGCATGCGTTATGCTGGTGTGCTCACCGACGAAAATGGTGTTCATCTCGGTCTTGTGGTACGCAGGAATGAACAGCTCCTGCTGGCCGACGGTGGGGGACGCCCATGCGCCGGCCTGGTGCTCGTCCACCTCCCAGCATTGACGATCGTAGGAACCGGTCCACTGCTCGTTGGCGATTTCGCCGTGGACCTCCACCATGGCGCGCTGGATAAGGGCGACGTGGTCCTCTTCGCTGAGTGCAGCGACGGACCGCGCCGCCGTGCCGGAAGTGTAGGAGCCCAAAATGACACCGGGCCCGGTGGAGTTGATCTTGTATGCGGGGTAGCAGACGGAGCCGACTCCGGGGATATCGGTCGACCCGCAGCCTCCGAAAATGGGATTCTCCTGGTGCTCCCAGAAGCGGGTCTCGTAGTGCAGAGCGACCTTGCAAGACTGGGCGTAATTCAAGGTGGAGATGGCTCTCGAAAGTAGGCTGGAGTAGGTAGGAGTCCTCCAGAGCCTGACCTTGGAAAATGGAACGGCCACGACTGCATAGTCATACTCGTCACTCTTGGGTACCTTGTCAAGGGGGCTTTCTCTCCAGGTGAGCGCCACCTTGGACGTCGTCTCGTTGTACTGAAGCCCGTCGACCTTTCGGCCGTACGTAATCTTTCCCTCGACATGAGGCGCGAAAGCCCGCGGGAGCGAGTCGAGGCCCTTGTCAATGGTGCGCCAGGTGGTGGCCGAGAAGTAGACATTGTCATACCAGTCACCCCACATGGGCGAGTTGCCTATGCCGCCGACAAAGTCCACAGTGTCTCCATCCAGGCCAAGCTGGTACTTGAGGTAGGCGGCCTCGGACCAGCTGAAGAGGCCCCTGTCAATGGCGTCGCGGTGGGCTTGGAACACGTTCGTGGAAATGTTGCGCATGCGCTCCGGTGACATGTCGAGCAGGCGTTCGAGGAACTTGCCGCCCAGCTCGGCACCTTCGGGGTCAGATGCATTGGCCGCCTTGGGGATCATGTCTGGGCTGGCAGCAGCCTGGGCGCTGCTGGGAATGTGACCGTTCGGTAGACGATATCCGCGTGAGTTTGTTGGCGTGTTGGGGCTGCTCTGGATCCAGGGGATGAACTTGACGGCTAAATCCGAGTCATTGCCGTTCATCTCGTTGAGCACATCGGCCAGCTGGAAGACCATCTTGTGGTCCTGAATGTCGAGGGTCTCGTTGGTGTCTGTGTATTTGACTGACACGGGGAATCGCATGGGGCCCATCTCCTGATATTGGTAGTCGTTGGGTCCAGTGCCGTTGAGATACTTGGTGCGAACACGGCCGCCCACGCGGGCGGTAGACTCAATAATATGCCAATCAGTGATGCCAGCTGAGGTCAAGAGCAGACTCGTCATGAGTCCAGCCATGCCACCGCCGACAATGGCGATCTTCTTGCTCTTGGCTTCGGCCGTAGACAGAGAGGCCTTCTTGGTCGAGTTCAAGTACTTGACGCCGTTGAACCAAAGCCCGTTGGAATCACCCGTCTCGTGCAGGGTCTGGCGCTTTCGAAGCGGGTCAGAGAAGCTGATGGGCTCGGAACGACCAAGCAGACGGCCCTCGGAGTAGGCATGAAGACAGCCTTCTTGCCTGACATCGTGGGGAACCACCCATACCAGGCGGTCTGGGGCAGCCTCCCGTCTCGTGAACAGAGAGGCTACTTCGTGCTGATAGTGGTTGGTGCTCTTGGGGTTACATTCGCCGTACACAATGTGAACATTGCCGTGGGGAAAGTTGTCCTCGTAGGTGACGTGGATATTATGCACTGACTCTGACGAGACACCGTCAAGGCCATGGAAGCGGATGGTGTCTTGAGATCTCAATGCTGGACTTGACAAGACCCCGCTGCTGAGGGCAAGAACCAGGATCGAGGCGGCTTGAGGGCTCAACATTTTGGATTTCGTTCGAGCTGCTATTGAGAGACTGGAACAAGTGAGGATATCGACCAAGTTCCAATATCATGAAGGGCGCCGGCAGTGATGTCTTATATCGTTGTCTGTGGCCGATGCCCGGCGATCATGTTTACGACCTTTGGCCGCCACAAAGCAGCTCTCAATCACAATTTGCAGCTCTGACATCTCGTTACCAAGAGTAGTCAGCGAGGCTAATGCAGATGTTGCAATCGCTGGCCTGAGAAGGGTCACGTCGGACGGAGGCTGGTCGGCTCCGCTCCGACACGCCACGAGGCTGGCCACTACGAGATAAGTTCCGATCTCGTTATGACTACGCATTTTGACAAGCCTGGTATTCAATGCTGATGTTTTCCTCCAGTCTCGGTTTGTGTCGGTGAGGCTTATCATGAAGATTACTCGTACCATTGGTCGGGTATACTCGAAGGATCCATGCAGCGATAACACCAAGAGGCACTTGCAGCGATAAAGACAAACCACCACGCTTTCCTATCAGGATGATCATCTGTGTCTAGTCGCCGGCTTGGAACGCGGGGTAGCCATAGAATACCCGACATCTCCATCAGGAAGGAGAAAAGAGGCAACGGACTTCACAGCACGTGGCGCCACGTGCTGGTTCAGGTTTCAACTGCTGCTTGCTGCCTCGTCCGTCTCTGAGATGATGGCAGCACCGCTCTCACAATTCGTAGAAATAGGTGAAGTCCACAAATATTGTCCAGCCTTGCAGAGCCTTGGGTGGAGAGCGAGCTTGCTTTGCTGAGTCTAGATTCCGGGCCTTAAATGACGGACTGAGTCAGTAACTTAGCTACGACATCTCGAGCAGAATTTCTGATCAAAAACGTCGCGATAGAAAGAACTCGCTTGTGATCTGCATTGGTCATGACGGCGTGTCATTCTGGTCAACTGACATACCGCTCCTTGAGATGTCCAGCTTGGCGGCTGGAGCGATAGCAAAATGGTTCGAGTCACGGCACAGCCGGAGTGAGTATTCCTCACCCCCGCGGGGTCATCAACAAGACGGTTCAATCGGTTCGGATCCAGCAGACTCTGCGCAAAGATAACAGACCCGAGGGGTTGGAACTGCTGTCTCTGGGACATCTCGGCTCAGCTGTTAATTGTGGGTGGGCTAAGAGGCCCCCGAGTTCGAAGCCAAACGCGGCGATCTGACGGATGCCACGGTAGACCGATGATTCAGCAGTTCTGTAGGGTTCAGACTCCGGACAATTATCAGATAAGTCACCTTCTAGATTGAGAGATTAATGCACAAAAGTGGGAAAGAATCATGTCGGCGAAGGGCGTGAAGTCTTCGCCTTGTGCTATGCGCCAGGGCGCGGGGTTCGGTGGGAATCGATGCCGCCAACTTTCTTGGCAAAGCTGATAACGATTGTACGAGGTTGGCGATCGCAACATTGTCTTCAGAATGGAGGGGTTGACGACGTCTCCGATCGGAGCTCATAGACTTGCAAGCTTCTTGCAGACAAGAAAAAGGATCATATTTAAACAAGCACGTCACCTTCAGTAATGACTTGAGGCAAGCATCGCAGAGGTTCTTATTGTCAGCAGAATTGAGATTGTCATTTCCATTTCACTCCTTCCATTTGGCTCATATCAAGACTAGCAACAAGTCGAAATGTTCGGAACGGCGATTCTCAAGACGGCAGCGTTGCTTCTCGTTGCTGCTGGGTCGGCATTTGCTGCACCTTCGACACTCCTTCAGTCACGATCCAAGTCTCCCATTACGCACCTTGGATCTCAGGGCCCCATCTTGTGTACGTTTGTTTGATCTTATTTCCAACAGGGCTCGTCGGGTACTTACTCTCTTCAGCCGGCGGTGTCATGACCAAAGATATTGTCTACACCAGTGGCACGATCCCCTCTGTCAATGGCACGATCCCTGAAGGCATTGAAGCCCAGACGGTAGGTCACCACCAGCCCTATGTGGTTGTCCTCTCTACGCTTTGATGACTGACGGACAGCAGGCTGCTGTCATCAACAATATCGGGCTCATCCTGGAAGAAGCGGGCACGTCGTGGGACATGGCCATCAAAACGACGGTGTTCCTCGCCAACATGGACGATTTTGCTGCGATGAACGGCGTGTACGGCAAGCTGCTGCCCAACCCGAAGCCGGCACGAACGACCATCCAGGCGGGCAAGCTGCCAGGCAACTTTCTGGTGGAGATTGAAGCTGTGGTGGCGCGTCCTCACTGCTAATAAGGCTTTGGGCTTGGTCGGTCGCATCATGTGTCTGGCTCAAGTGTAACAGGGTTGTCCACTGCGATTGAAAGATGCATGCGATTCAATGATGACGGAATGCATGACTGAGCTGAAACCAGGCCCGTACACTGTGAAAGAGGCAATTGCCGATTGGACTGCACCGTTATAGGAATAGCTTCACGGAGCACCAGCATGGCCTTGGGCGCATTGCGAAGTTATGTGGTGATGTCTCGGGGAAATAGCCGTCTTTGTTCCCAACCTACCTAGGTACCTAAGTTAGGCATGTAAGCACTGGTAGAGGCATGGAGCAGTCCTTGTTCGTCTTCTGGCGGCAGGAATGAGCGCTGTGGCTTCGGGAAGTATTGGGGTGCCGAGTAGAAAATGAGGAGGGAGCAGCTCGGACCACCCTCGACAAGTATACTGTACATGTACACCACACTGCCTTGTGTGCCGGTTTTTTCTCTGCCGCGTGGTACGTGAATAATGAATAAAGGGGTCCCTTCGGCAGCAGGCTCGTGGTGGGTTTCGGACCCTGAGGTGAGTGAATACATAGTACATGGTTGTTCGTCCCACCTGCACCAGTAGGCCGGGATGCCATGATGTTGTGGAACGAACCTTAACCATCCCTTGACCTTGTCTACCTAGGTATATGTACAGTCCATGGTCATTACTGGTTCCAAGCCCCCAAGATTGATAAAACGATACTGTGGCGCACGATGGCGAGCGACCGCAGCGACATGGCGCCAGGTAGCAACCAGCTGGTGCTTCTGCTCTGCTCTTTCGGCTGCCGCCGCCTTATCCGGGCAATCGGGCGCTGTTCGGCTGCAGGGTACCTACCTAAGGTAGGTACATAGTACCTTACCTAAAATGTTAGATCTGGATGCCAATTTTAGAGATGCTTCGGGCGGCACTAGGCAGCGAATACAGCGGAGGATGCACTGAAGGGGGCCTCAGTTCAGCCCTGGAATGACAAGGACCAACCAGAAGAGGTCGAGGCTAGCGACAAGCCTTCTTCGATGGATACGAGAGTGGGGCCTTTCCACCCGATCCTTCCACTGGCGCCTGGACTTGGCAGATTACATGTACATAGTACCTACCTACACCTGGACCACTCTGCTCAGGGGGCGGCACGGGGCAAAAACTCAAAGACTTGCTCACGAATCCGTCTGCTTTTATTGTTGTGTATTCCCTCCCCCCTCCCCGCCGCCGCCGCCGCCCGCCTCCCTCGCGCCTCCTTGCCACGTTGTTTCTGTTGTCTGCTTGACTGCGTGTGCGCCTCTTTACTCTGATCAGGACGCAGCCAGACCAGAATATCCCACACACTCTTTTACTCGTTTTGTTCGTTCGTTCCTTCGAGTTCAGACCACACGCGGTCTGTCAAACAGTCATGGCGGCTAGGCGATCCTGGATTTACGAGAGCGTACGCGGCGCATCCGTCGCTCGCTCTCGCATGACGACGACGCGATATTGGGTCATGCTTAGCAGCTTCGTCGCTGTGGCCCTCATCCTGCTGGGCATGCACCTCCACAGCAGCACCCGTCTGCCTCCCCTCTACTCCAAGACGGGCAAGGTCAAGCCGCCGCCGCCCTACCCCGACACATCCGTCGTCCTCGCCGAGGGCGAGCTCCGCGAATGGGTGCCTCCCGAAATGGACGCCCTCGTCCACGGCGTCCGCGCCTCCGACGGCATCCGCCGCGACCCCAAGTACAAGCTCGAAAAGTTCCCCTACTCGCCCATGGACAACCCGCCCCACGACGACGGCCACCAGCGCCCGTGGCTCGGCGCCGTCATCTGCTCGGCCTGGGATCTCAAGAGGAGGATGCTCATCCGCTACACGTGGATGAAGCTCTACAAGGACGTGCCCATGGACCAGCGCTTCGTCATCTCGAACCCGGGTCCTCGCTGGATGGACATCATCCGCCAGGAGAACCGCACCTACGGCGACCTCATCGTGCTCGACCACCTGCAGGAAGACGACTTTACCGCCAACACGGTCAAGACGATTGAATTTTACCGCTGGCTCGTCGAGAAGAGCCCGCGCAAGTACGAGTTTGTCACCAAAATGGACACGGACCTCTGGGTCAACGCCCGCGGCTACTACGACCGCCAGATCCTGCCGCGGCTCGAGGCCCAGGCCGGCAACACGACGCTCGTCTCGACCGTCGACTACACCGTCATTGGCCAGTTCTACTACGACTCGTACCACAAGACGTCCTTCCCGCACGGCGCCATCTACACCGTCACCTGGGACATTGTCCAGCTGCTGCCCGTGCTGCAGGACAAGTTCCACGTCATCGCCGGCGAGGACGTCACCATGGCCTGGCTCCTGATGAGGGGCAAGCAGAAGGTTAACATGGCCGTGCTCAACGAGCAGGAAAAGTTTGAGTTTGACCAGAAGGACACGCGCCGCGGCGAGGACGGCCCCTGGGCCCGCACCGGCACCGACGTCACGTCGCCCTGGCACGCCCTCGCCGGCAAGGAGGCCCTCGCCATCCACATGCTGAAGAAGGACGACGAGTGGCTCATGGTCGCCTCCGTCTTTGACAAGAACGGCCTCATCGACGCGCCCACCACCGAGAGTCACGAGTTCCGCGACGACAACGACAAGCCCGGCTACCCGCGCCCCCACTACACGGCCATTCCCGACAGTTTCTGGGAGACGGACAAGGATGGCAGGCTGCTGTGCAACGGCGTCTGGAAGCTCGAGGCCGGCGTCGGCCGTGACATGAAGAAGACGGACGATAAATGAGGACGATAGAGACATAGGGACGGCACGGGCGTTCTTTTTTTTCTATTTTCTTTTTTTTCCCCCTCCTTTTTGTATAATCAAGCGTTTTCGACTTTGATTTGATAGACAGACAGCTTGGTTCACCTGGTCGCCGTCCTGATCCGCCACGCATCGACGACCAAGCATGGGTGGCGCGGTGTGTGGCTCGAAAGGAGCGCCGTCCTCGGGCGGCAATGCAACCGCGGAACCACGCATGTAGATACTGACCTCGACATAGACTTTCGACTCTTCAGAGACGACGAACAAGCAATAAATTCAGAGAATCACAGAAAACACACTCCTGGATCAGCTTGAGAGTGCTTTTTCCCGTGCATGGCAGCCAATCTTATATTTCTTTGGGGCCGGGGCAAACTTAATTAAATGACCCAATGGTATCAAACTCTGACATCGCGCAGCGGCTCACGAGTCACGACGGGCTCGGCAGAACGTCGTGACGAGCCGCCGACGGCGAATTGGCGTTTGCCAATAGTTTCCGACGCCGGAGGATAACGATGCAAGGCGAGAGAGTCGGACAAAGAACACATGGACAGTGGCACAGTAGCTAACGTGCTATCGTCCCCAGTCAGCGCCCTGGAAGCGCCTTGCCGAAAAACCATGGCATTGTAGCAGCGTGATGATCAAATCAAACACAATACAAGGTTATCGAAAAGCTTCCCACATTACCCGTCAGTCTTTTTTCTTGCTTTATTTTTCTTCCCAAGTATGCCAACCCAAAGGACATCAATCGCCCAGCGCTCCCCCCCGGTTGATCCGCAGCACGGCAATACGGCACACCTGGGCGGGGGGCCATCGTCCAGTGTGACGGCTGGGCTTTTCCTCGGCGAACCGGGATGTCAGGCATTTAAGCTTCTTTTCTGGCCAACCGTTGAAGCTTATTGCGCCGGGAAACGTGGGATTGGAATTCTGGTCAGACCACGTCCCCATTGAAAATGTGCAACTGAACAAAGAAACCAAACGAGATTTATCTCTGTCCTCTCAACGACAGGCCCGTACATCTTGATGCAGAGACAATGCGCTTCCTTCAGCTTCACAGCCTCGCCAGTGCAGTGGCTCGCCCCAGTGTTCTGTAATTACAGCCAAAGGGGAGGAGGGCCAGCCGGCCCAGTGGAGAAGGGCAAACTCGACGAGATTGGGAGATGGAGGGACAGAAGGCCGGTGAACACGTGCCCTTATTGGAGCAGGCATTGGACCGGGATGGCCCTGTTAGAGTGGTTTCATGGTACACTGCTAGCCCACTTCAGGCCTGTCGCTCACTGTAAACCACCGGGGGAGAACACACCGAAAAGCTGAAAGGGCGATTGGGACGAGTTGAGGTCGTAGAAAGGGGTCGCATCACGAAGCAGTGGGGTTGGGATGGGAAAGTCATTGGGGGCGTTTCTCCATCCTCGTCTGCCATTGATGCTTGGCCTAGCAACTTGGCGATGTCGAAGCTTGGCCTCCACGATGATGCTTGAAATTGGAGAGACAAGCAAGCTGGGTGCGTCGGTCTGGTACCGCGAGTGGATTGAACCGGCGGTGGAGGTGGAGGAGGGAGGTGTACGCGGAAAGTCTCTTATTCTCCCACTGACTCGGGTATCTGCACCCCTAGCGACGAGGCATCTGTCGCGCTGATCTATCCGTCATGGCACGCCCGATTCGTGGGCGCAGCAACGGTCGTCGTCTTGTCTCGACGTTGTGGTGAGTGAGGGTGGATGATGAGCCACACCAGGATTCGTCATGTGTGTTGCGTGTTGCTGCCTCCCGCATTTGGCAACCCTTGGTCGATTCGAGAGAGCCATATCATCTACTTGAAGCCACATTCCCGTTGCAAAGGGACGGCTAAAAGGGTTGAGTGTACATGCACAGTCAAGACAAAGGTTTTCGATGGTTGAGCGAAAGGGGTTTGGTTGGCCGATTGTGGCGCTGGACGGCGAGGATCAAAGCGGGAAGTACTGACAGGGCAGAGATGAGATGCTGCCGCCTCGCTCATTTGCGACGAGATGCAGTGTATAAAAGGGACGATGCCCGCCATGGCCACGAGTGACTGTCAAGCATCTCCTGCGCAGACGATGAAACCTATTTCCCCATGGGACTCATCTCGCTGCGTTATAGAGGACAATAGCCATTGTTGTGACGTCTGTGTCTGCGAGGTGGGTTCCCTGCCCGAGATGATGATGTTTCTCTCGCTGGGCCACTCGGATGGCCGAATCATGACCAGCAAAATCAGCCTGTCTCTTGGCAGTGCGGGGCATCCCGAGCGATGTGTCCAATGACTGCAGATCAGTCTCCGAGGATGGATCTCGTCAGATGCACTGCCCATCCTGCCCAGAGCCGGGGCCAAGGGCGAACTTGGCAGGCAAGTGCGTCCAGAAGCACAGTCTTAATACAGTGCCAGCTCTGAGTCGATCCTCTACATAACAAGACAAACAACGGCAACAAGGACAGTGTCAATTCCAAGGAATTACCTCCCCCCACCACCCCAGGCCCACCTGCCACCCGGGCCAACTTTGCAACTGGGCACTACCTGACGCACTGCGCACTGGAGACAGCCGGCCAGCCAGGCAGGCCGCCCGCCATATTACCCGCAGTCGAATTCCATGCCACTGGATGACCTCGACCCTTACCCTTGACCGAACACCTCTTCCAAGTCTTTGGTCACGAACCTCCAAAGCCAACTTTCGAGCTTCGCCTGCACTGCACACACGCCCTAACCGAGACACGCCGTCTTCCATGCCTCACCTTCGACGCGACCATACCCGTGACGTCCATCGACAAACGCCTAGGCCGACGATTCTTCGCTAACTCTCTCGCCTCCTACTTCCTGCTTCACCCTCCCCTCTCGACCGACCTCTCTTTCATCGAGAGGAGCACCGACACTTCGCCAAACTGACCGACCTTCCGAGCCACCACTACCACCAACAACACAGCCCCGACGAAGCACAACACTTCCCAACGAGGTCGATCACACAAACCTCGCCACTGGGGTTTGTCTCTTCCCTCCCACCCGCGCCCGCGCCCGCGGCCCTTCGCCCTATGGATGCTCAGGAACCAAAGCCGGCAGAAGACGCGACCACGCCCTCTGGCTCCCCCGTGGATGCCGAACCCAAAAACTCGACGCCTCCGACGCCGTTCCTCCAGCGCACCAAGCACCATGTGCACCGTTTCCTGACAAAGAATATCTGGGCCAAAGACGGCCGCAACCGCAGTCATGTTCCGCACATGTCTGTTTGGATTGCCGGAGTTCGCGTGTTGCAGCTGGTAGGCAGAAATCGTCTGTCAATCTGTGATATGGGTCGACGTACTGACGGATCATACAGCTCCTCGCCATAGCCACACTGGCCCTGACCGCATATGGGGTAGCCACTATACAAAAGGCCGTTGGGTATAGGAGGATCACGGTACGACAGATCTCCATTCGCGATCCTACAGGCAAATCCAGTCAAGAAAGCTGGCTGACTCTCTGGAAGAACTGGAGCGGGTCCGAGGGGTATCGTAAGTGTTCCCTCAATGTACCTGGCTCGCGCTTCCTCCCCAGGTTACTGACTTGTTTTCTTTAGCTTTCGCATGGTTCGCCTTCTCCTGGACCCTCGTCTATCTGGCGTGGCTCGGCACAGCAGTTCTCGTTCTCCCCATCATGTACAACTGTTGGGTCCACCTGTACGTGAGGACCTGTGTTGATGTCGTATCGCAACTTGCTGACATGGATCCCAGCGGTCTTGAAATCCTGAGCCTGGTATTCTGGCTCATCGTGACATCACTTCTCGCCAGTCATTCGGATGACCTTGACTCTATCGATGCCTATGTCACTGGCCTAGGCCCTGAGTACAAGAAACATTATAATGAGTTCATCCAGGAATATGCCCGCGGATTTGTCGTGGCAACCTTCGCAGCCACCGGCGTGGCAACTGCCAATTTTCTCCTCTTTGTTGTCACAGTCGCTCGCTTCGGTATGTTTTCTTCCCTGGCCTATCAATAGGATGCACCACGCCATGACTGGGGATATAACAGCTGACACATCGCAGGTCGTGCTCTCCATGACATGCGCCAAAAGTCAAGCGCCAGCACCAAGTCTCAGACGACGACGCAAGCTTCTGAGGCGGACAAGACGGTCACATCGCCACACATGACACATGCCATGGCTGCTTATCCACCATGGGCTCACTACCCACCTCACCCTCACTACCCATACTACGGGCCGCCATTCCCCCCTCAATCCACCTCGTCCAACTCACCAGATGGACAGTCTGTGCCACCGGGGCCTCATCCTTACATGCCGGCATATTTCCCGATGCCTATGCACCCCTATCCTCAGGGGTATCCGACGCCAACCCAACAGGGACCTCACCAAGATTCACCTGATCCGCAGGACCCGAACCGACAAGCGACGGCTTCACCGGGCAGTGCCTCAACACACACGCCGTGGCCACCGCATTCCCCGCACTACGGTCCCCCTGGCTCCATCTGGCCGCAACACAGCTACAGCATGTATCAGCAGCAGGTGCCAATAGCAGCGCAGCACACGGGGCAGTCGCAGCCAGGGTTTGGCTCGCCACAGTTCCCCATGGTTGCGCCAATGGCCACGACGAAGACTGATCTCCAGGGCGTCCCCCCGGTACCGTCGGCACCGGGCTCTGTGCCAGCACATACAAGGCCAGGCCTACCAGCAGAGCTCAATGATGGACAGCTTGGCGACGAGAACATGCCCGCTGAGCTTTCTTCTAACGATCATCCACCACCGCCCCAAGTGCCACCACCGCCACCGACTGAGCCCCTGGAAACGATGCAAACAGCGCAGGAGGAGCTGCCGAGGAACGAAGCACCGGCGGAGCAGCCATTAGCAGCAGAGACACCCAAAGAAGAAGAGGTACCGAGGTAGCGAAAACGGCGACGACGGGAGTTTATTCGTTTAGCGACACGATTCTGGCTTTTGGCGTTATTTCGGAAACACGGGGATGGGGCAGCATAGCATCTGCGAATGGGCGGCATGCAATCTTGGATTTCAAACGGCACAAGGGCAGCGCAACGGAGGCGCGGCGTACACGCGGGGGCCCTTGGTCACTTTGTTTTAACCTCTTTTATTTTCCCTCTCGGGGTACTTTTGTCGCGCGCCCACGGGGTCGACGCGTGCCTCGGCTTCTTTCTCTTGCATAGATTGGCGTCTAGGGGGACATGAGCGATAATACGCTGCCGAGAAAGGCCTTTCAATTTTTTCTTGCTTGATCTTGTTGATCAGGGAGTGATGTTTGAATCACGTTTGCGACAAATTTCGGGTCGAAGATTGAGATCCCCCAAAAAAGCCCAGGATTTTCCGTTTGTTCTCGGGATAGGTACCCGGGACCGCCAGGGATCGGGTGTCGTTGAATGGAGTTGAGAGCTGTCCATTCTATGAGTTATACTGTCATGTGTTTGCAGCGTCAGAATGGTCCACGAGGATCTACCACACGCGTGACATCATGGCCTACCAAAGGCCCTCAATCACATGTCATACACCCATATGAATGTGCTTCTTGTGACAAGCAACGATCATATGTTTATTTTGGGTATCGTGTATCCATCTCCTACCATCACATCCCACCACATAGTATGTTGACTTCCGTCATCTGAGTGTCCGCCTTCACATGACGTAGCGGAAGTACGGGTTCTCCTTGTCCGTCAAGTCCTGGAAAGCAAGCTTGGCGCGCTCCTCCTCGTCAACAGCCTGGCCCTCCCGCTTGGCATTCTCCCTGCGCAGGACAAAGTACAGGGCGACGGCGGCGAGGATGCAGATGACGTAGCAGACGATGAGGCCGGTCCAGAGCTCGGGGTAGTGGTCGGGCCTGCTCTGGGAGCGCACGAGCAGGGGGCCGACAATGTTGCCGACGCAGTAGGCGACGAAGATGGTGGCGGCCATGAAGCTCTTCTTGGTGTGGCCGGCGACGTTGGACATGCCGACGGTGATGATGAGGGAGACGACGCCGCCGAAGAAGCCCGTGATCGAGTAGCCGATGACGGGGGCCGGGGCGTGGTGGTACCAGGCCGACTTCCAGATGATGGCGCAGCCGGCGATGACGGGCAGGCAGCAGGCGATGAGCATGAAGATGCGAATATTGGGGAAGCGGGAGCCCGCGAAGCCCGTGGCGAGAATGACGAGGAAGCAGAGGCCGCCGAGCGGGAACTGGAACAGGATGGACTCGCGGGCGGTCCAGCCGAACGTGGAGACGATGAGGGGACCGAAGCCCGAGACGGCGCCGTTCATGGTGTAGGCTGACGCCATCATGATGGCCACGAGCCAGACCTTGATGTCGAGGATGGCCTCCTTGACCTGGGAGAACTTGAAGGTCGTGCAGCGAACACCGGTCTGGCCGTAGCGGAGGCGCTCGACGGCCACGAATCGCTCCTCAGGCGTCAGGAACCAGGCGTTGACAGGTGAGTTGGGCATGAAGAAGCAGAAGATGCCAAAGAGGAACGTGAGGCATCCCGCGAGGAGGTAGATGTACTGCCATCGGGTGAGTGCCCCGCCAGTGATCTGGGCAAAGCCGTAGTTGAGGGCACCGCCGAGAATGGTGAACAGGCCAGTGGAGGAAAACCACCAGCTCTGGCGCATGGATTGTTCCTTTTGCGTGTAGTAGCCAGAGACGATGCACATGAAGCCCGTGGGTATAATGGACTCGACAAAGCCAAGGAAGAAGCGCTGAACGTAGAGACCCTTGTAATCGACGACGGCCGCCGTCAGCATGCAAATGCCGGCCCAGAGAATGACGATGCCTCCGAGGATGCGACCAATGTCGAAGCGCTGAAGGGCATATGTCATGGGGTACAGGCCACCGAGCATGCCAAAGTAGAAGAGCGAGGTCGCCCACGACATGCGAGTCGTGTCCATGGTGGGAGGTGTCGTGGTGGCGTCGACGACAATCGAGAGTTTGAGATCCTTCGTCATGCCAAACAGGACAGCCGATCCCAAGATGGCCTTGTCGTAGTAGACAAGTCCATCTATTGTTTGTTAGTACGGGCTGTTGGACGATGGATTATGTTGTGCGGGCGAAGCGGCTTGACTTACAGCCAAAGATCATGGCAGGCATGAGGAACCAATCAATCTTACGCACAGCACGCGCTGCAACGGCTGGATCATAGCTCTGCTGCTGCTCGCCAACCATGGCGAGAGCTTCATCGCCACCCCGAATTTTGGTTGCGCCGCTAACGTCGGCAGTCGGGGACATGGTCCTGGCGGCCTCAACATCTGCCGGCGTGGGGTCGGCGACGGCAGCGGAAGCCGGCGCGACTGCATTGGGCTCGTCAATACGTTTTTCGTCAGCCATGGCACGGTCGGTGGGTGCGAATGAGGAAAAAAATGTTGGAGACGTTGAGTCAGATAGCATGTGGCATGGGCGTGACAGATTTTTTAGTTGGTCAGGCGCGGCGCCCAGGATAGAATGATGTCGAGCGAAATAATTTTCAGCGCGGATCGTGGCATCGCTTGGCGCGTCGAACTCCCCTGGTCGCTTGCTCGGGGAGCATTTCAGCCTTCATTCCCTGGGTTCTTTGATCGGTCCAGGCCTTGCACTCAAAGGCTTTCTGGGTTATGCCCGCGTTGTGTCCATCCGTACCGGAGGTGTTGAAATGACAGGCGAGGCGCTAGCGCACCCTGAGGCTGGGAGCGTGGGATTGGCATCGCAACTGTTGCGTCTGCCGATGCTGCGATTGGATCTCTTGGGTGGGATGGTCGCTGGGGGACGGGTACTGTCGGGTTGTTGAGGCTATTCCTGTATCACGTGAGGGACCCGACGTGGGGGCCAGTAGCCATGTTGGGATCGTCGTCTTCTGGATATTCTTTCTGTTGCTTCTCAAGACATCAGGATTTCCAACTCGATGAAGTTTGGGTTTCTGTTGAATAATTGGGTCTGTCCAGATGCGGGTTGTGCTTTCAATGTCTCCAGTCGATAGTAGCTGGGGAATCGTCTGGAGGAGGGGCAGCAGAGGAGGGGGAATGGTGGGTAGGCAGGCTTGGCAGAGACGAGGGGCAGGGAGGAGCAGAGTCGGGACTTGGGCCGGGCCGGTGGGAGCTCTGACCACCTTTGGAACAACCAGCTCCCTCGAAGCCTAGGTAGGTACTCCGATCACATAGCCACCTTCGTGCACAACAGCTCCCAGACAAGACAATCGCAGTTGAAAGCAATAGCGACCGAAAGTCGACTACAGTGCTGCCATGAGAAACAGAACTGACATTTCCCATGAGACTCTGTCTTCAAACACGAAACACGGATTCCGAGGACAAGACAGCGTCCGCAGGCTTCGAATCCGCGCGGCTACATGGCCCCCCACCTCTTTCGTAAACCCTCTCTTTTCGGCACGCGATGATTGCAGAATCAACTTGTCCGCCATCGAGATCTCGCTTCCCCTCAATGACCGACTCGTCACGTTTCACATCGGACTCACCGTAAGCCACATTGGTCGGCTTCTGCCAGCCTCGCGTGCTCGGTTCAACTAGGTAGCCTGATCACCCCAAGTGAAGCATAGCCAAGGCATCCCAGTACGGCCACGGGCATCATGCACCACCGGGAATAGTTCACTATTTGCTGATCCTCCACGCGTACGACACCCTATCCGGACACCATTCTTACAGCCTTGCGGTTTCGACAAGCCTTCTGCACCTGCCCTTGTACTGACAGTCAATTTTGGCCCAACCATCATTCGTGGGACAAGCTCATTGCTGACCACCAACTTGTTTTTACGGCCGAGCCTTGGAGGGTGGTGCCTTGATAGCTTGTTGGGTTGTATATGCCTCCCACAACTCGCTTCCTGTTGGTCCAACTCCTGCTCGCTCGGCGCTCTCGTCATCCACAAGAGCAGAGCGGGCTGAACCTTTTGGCCTGTCTTCTGAGGGGCTTGCATGCCCGCAACCCCCCCGGTTATGGCTGTTCTTGGCGAACCTGTTTTGTTCGGGACGAGGCTGCACCCCAAAGCCGCCCCCCGAGTTCCCATGTCGTCAGTCGTCGTAGCATGCTGTTCGAGTTGAGCCGCATCTTGCCCCGAAATCGCCTATTTAACACGGTCCTCCGCTACCCAGGCGTGGCCAGAGAACATGGTTCAGTTTGGTCAACCTCTTGTCATGCTTCATCGGTTTTTTTAGGAAACAATGTCCGACTATCCACAGATAACTTGTCTCAGCTCTGAACAACACGATGATAATATCAGCAATCACATGCTGCATTACTTGGGCTGCATCAAAGTGGGAGAACGGGCAGGCTTCTTCGACGTAAACCATCAGGTGTGGGCGAAAGAATTGGAGCGCGAGCGGGACCGACTCAAAGTCAATGAGCCACAAAAGGACCAGGAAGCGCGTGTGAAGAACCACGTTGAAGCGAAAATGACCAAGTGGAAGAAACAATGCGACCGGAATATGGAGCGGTTCGACCATATCCGAAAGGCGCTGGCTAGGTCCCCAGACGAGAGATACATCGTGCACAACTTCGAAGAGAGCCTAATGAAGTGGAGAGCTTCAGCCGAATACGGGGATGGTGTCAAGCTCATTGCACAGTCCGGACTCAATCCTCTACCATGTTACCTTTCATCCAGGCCAAATCATTCTTCCACCCCGGCGTCGGAATCAGTGAACCTGGGCGACGAAGACAACGCCAGAGCCAACACACCACAGGCTCAAACACCAATTTCAGAGCCGCCGGAGGACGATTATAATCCTGAAGAAGATATCAGCGTCCATGTCATCCTCTATGAGGACTCAGAGAGCCTCCCCAAGGAAAACTTTGAGGCCAGAGGCCGAGAGACTCACGCTGAACCGCCGGCGAAAGCCTCGAAAGGTAAAATGGAACTCGAGACAACGAACGTGGCGACTATTCTGAAGCTCGGGGACAAGTATGAGAAATCGCCTAACCGGCTCTTAGAGCTGCGCTCAAAGGATTCCCTTTCATATGTGCACTTTCCTGCGAACAACATGAGCGTAAGTGGTCCTCGTCTATACTTCTATTACCTGCCCTGAAACTAACGGCAAATGTAGTGGATCGAGGTATTTGTCTTTCCACAAGAGTCTTGTCTGCAGTAATTGGACTACTCTAACAGGGCCAGCGAGCACTTGATCTGTACTACGGCCAGGATCCTCCTAGCTTTGACGGCGTCATCCACGAGCTGCAAGAGCCATACAACACCAAGACCTACATGATGCTTAGGCCACAGTACTGGCGGGGACAAATGCATGGGTCTGCAGGCTCGGCGCCCCATTCTCGCCATATGCGGCCCATGTGCGAGGCCGTTTCTTCTGGTTTGTGACTCTATCATCCTTCGTATCGCGCTTGGCCCTGACCCCCTTCCAGACACAGAATTATTGAGCCAAACACCAAGAAATATGGTATTATTCGTATGGTGACTCTGAACAATCCTCGTCTCAATATGCTGCTGACTCGAAGCTGAGATGCCGTATCTTCACTGGGAGACTGACAGGTTGCGCAACAAATTTGCGCTAGAAATGGAAGTCCTTGCTGACCAATGGTTCGAGAATCGCCAACAAAAAGAACAAAAAAGGAGAGAGGAGCGCATAAAAGCTAGAAAGGCCCTTCACCCCGATCTTCGCCCGAGCCTTGCACCAAAGATTCAGCCCAAAAGGAACCAACTCATAGAGTCGGTCCTCCCAGATCCAAATCCTGTCCTTGTTAAACAGGGACTCCGAATCGAAAAGAATGGGCGGGTCATTCTATCAACAACGAACCCGAAGAGAGAGTTAGGCCAGTTCCTTGTGGATGCTGCTAGGCTCTACGAGGCTATGTCAACTTTTCGGGACAGGAGACTGTTGAAGAATTACTTGAATTGGGACCCTCCACTTCATCCCAGGCGGACCCTCGACCAGGCCTACTACTGGACCTTGAACACCACCAAGAGTCGCGACCGTGACCAGGTCGTGTATCGTGCAACGACAGCAAAGTCAAAAGACTTCCACCAATTCGACAATGGAGGTTGGCCTGACCATCAGGATCTATATGAAAGTCCTTGCCGCAGCTGCACGGCAGGGATCCAAAAGGTCTCTCGTGTGATGATGGTTGACCAACTTTGGATGTGGGTATTGGACGAGAAGACGCTCATAACTTCCTTCCCGAAAAGATACGGCACTCAGAAGTACGATTACTCCGGTGTACACAAAGCAATCCGCACAAAGCTTGACAGAGCTCGTCCCAACCAAATCCGGTCAGTGTTCGATTTGGGACTCCTGGTTATTGACGAATGCTCCAATACATTCTTCGATCGTGCGCGGAAGAGTGATCGGCAACCACAGGTCATTGACCAGTTCTCAGAGGCAATCGGTAATGTGGTAAGAATATAAACGCATTACGTACCTTAGTGACATGTATTGACGCGCCGCAGTCGAGAAAGGAGACAATTGCCTATGACAAGCTTTATAAGTGGACAGATAACGCTAACCTTATCTACCGACGGCCGGGAAACAGTGAGATGTCAGAACTTCACGTGCCATTGCTCGACATCAACCCGGAGGCTGCCTTACACAGAGAGATCGAGGACATCAAAGAAGAGCTCGACATTATGATCTACGTTGTTAGATCACATCTTTTCGTCTTGGAAAGCTTCATAACTCATGTAAAACACATGCTAGACGTTTACATTTCGGACGATATATGGGGAGTACTATCGGAAGCCATATCGGGGGCAAGCGCAGATACGGCGAGGGGGCAGATGCCCTCTCCCAGCCAAAATACAACGTCGCCGACGCCTAACGCCAGGCAAGCCCCTCAGCCTACCGTGTATAACGATCCAGAAGCAAGGAAGCAAATCTTTCGTTTCTTCGAACTGAATGCCAAAGAGGTGCAAACGAAGATCAAGTGGCGTATCAAAGAGCTGGAGCAATTGCGGGATAGTGCCCTGAGTACTTGCGAAGGCGTGAGCTGATCATCCCACCTCGGGCGCACTGGAACCACAGACTGACACTTTACAGGTGAAGGGACTTCTTGCCCTGAAGCAACAGCAAGCTGGTGTGGTCCAGGCCTGGATGTCTCTGAAGCAGTCCGAGGAAACCGTCAAACAAGGGCGATCAATCATGCTGTTCACTGTTGTGACAATCGTGTTCGTAAGTTGCCGCGATCCTGGAGTCTTTGCATCAACAGCCGTATCTAACAGTTTACAGCTCCCATTGACCTTCACAGCCGCCATCTTCGGGATGAATGCACTTGAACTCGGATCCAATGGGAGTCTCAAGATTGGCCAGGAATTTGCCACAATATGCAAGGCACGACCTGCCTGACATGACAGCTAACACGCTAACAAAGCTACAGTCCCCGTCTCCATCTTCATCATCGTTATCACCCTCGCGATCGCCTTCAGCACGTGGATCAGGACGTTTCTGTGGTCGATCTGGCATGTTGTCGCGTGTGCCATCGTCACGAAAACACCGATATATGGAAAGTGGTTGGATATAGGACTTACTAGTGACAGCGTCCAGGAACACGCCGTATCCGTGACGCGCAAGTTGAAAAAGCAGGTGAGAGACGCCCGACGTGACCGCCGTCTGGAGGAGCGTGGCAGACACAAAGCGAAGGCTAGGGGTCCAGAAGGGGCATCAAGCGATGTATCTGGGGAGGATCCTAGTGTTAGGTCTGAACACTCCAAAGGCAACACAACAGCAGAAGCAACTCAGGACGGCACTGCGGATGAAGAAACGACGAGGCATCGATCGTGGTGGCGATGCAGAAGTTTGAACAGGACAGCAGACATCCGTCTTGATGCGCTGTCCCCCAATGGGGTTCCCTCTGGTCAACGACGTACTGCGGCTACAACAGCAACAGCAGCGGAACAGGCCGTCGTCTAGACTCGGCCTTGACGCCCGCCTTCGGCTCCCCACAGTGGTCGCAACTCTGCCCCTCACTTTTGACTTCATTCCGCGTGACCCCTCCACTTGCCGCTCGGCTTGCAGCGGGTTTGAGCGCCCATGTCAGCAACCTGCAATGGTAGACCTTCGTGAATGAAATCAGCTCTGCTCTCGACAACGTTCTTTTGACCTGGCACACGCGTCTACGAGTTTCTTCATATCGATTATTGTTCGCGAAAACGCCCGTACCTCCCTTATCAGTTTACCGCCGATACCTACCAGCACAACACATTGGCACCATGACGTCCCAAACCTCGTGGCTAACCATCTCGCCGGCGAGTCACTTCTCCCTGGCCAACATTCCCTTTGGCGTCATCTCTACAGAGTCCGACTCGACGCACCGTCCAGCCATTGCCATTGGTGACTATGCACTCGATCTTGCGGCGTTTGCTGCTGCCGACGGCTTTTCTGGTTCAGCGACGATAAAGAAGCAGGCGCATGTGTTCTCGTCGCCGACGCTAAACACCTTTGCTGCGCTGGGCCGACCCTTCCATCGCGAGGTCAGGGCCTACATTCAGTCAATCTTTGCCGAGGACACACAGCATGCTGCCCTTCTGAAGGACAATGCCTCTTTGCGCGAGTCTGCGCTGCTCCCTCTGTCTAGCGTCCAAACACACCTGCCTCTGTCGATTGGCGACTATACCGACTTTTACGCCGGCAAGCATCACGCTTACAACGTCGGCGTTCTCTTCCGGGGCCCCGCCAATGCATTCCAGCCCAACTACACTCATCTTCCCGTCGCCTACCACGGCCGCGCCTCCAGTGTTGTCGTCTCCGGCACGCCGATCCGCCGGCCATGGGGACAAATTCTGCTCGACCCAAAGGCCGAGCCCAAGATGCCCGCCCTCGAGCCGTGCCGCAAGCTCGACCTAGAGCTCGAGCTTGGCATGTTCATCTGTCGCGAAAACACCCTTGGTGAGCCTGTTCCCGTGGGCAAGGCAGAAGAGCATGTCTTTGGCTACGTCCTCATGAACGACTGGAGCGCGCGTGACGTGCAGGCCTGGGAGTACGTGCCTCTTGGCCCCTTTACGGCGAAGAACCTCGGCACCAGCATCAGCGCCTGGGTCGTGCTGGCGGATGCGCTCGACGGCATCAAGGTGCAGGGCATCAAGAACGACACAGACTTGCTCCCCTACCTGCGCGAAGGCAGGGAGGACAACGTCTTGGGCATTGACCTCGAGGTCGACCTCATCAGTAAGTGCACGCTTCGGGCCGCGCCGCCGGCGAGGGACCGCGCGCTGACAGAGACAGCTTCCACCGGCAACAAGACGACCATCAGCAAGACCAACTCGCGCAACCTGCTCTGGTCATGGCCGCAGATGATCGCCCACCACACCATCACGGGCTGCAACCTCCGCACGGGCGACCTCCTCGGCTCGGGCACCATCTCGGGCCCCGACGCGGGCACGGAGGGCAGCATCCTCGAGCAGACGCAGGGCGGCAAGGTGGCGATCCGGCTCGAGGGCGGCGAGGAAAGGAAGTTCCTCGAGGACGGCGACACGCTCGTCATCCGCGGCTGGGCAGGCAAGGAGGGCGCGCTCGTCGGGTTCGGCGAGGTCAGCGGCAAGATTGAGGCGGCGCTGCCGCTGTTTTGAAGCAAGATACACGCTAGCATTGGGATTTTCAAAAGCGGCCTTTCTGAGCTATGATTGATCACAAACTCTATCCTTTCTCATTTCACTGAATTGTTCTCATGTGTACAGAATCACTGCTCGGATGGTTCCACTCTCAAATCAGCCGGACAATCAGGCTGCACGTAATACCCCGCCTGGACCACAGCCGGCAGCGTGTCAAGGTACGCCCTGACTCGGCGGATGGTCGGGTACGAAGCCAGATCGACGCCGTACCTCTCGGCATTCCAAAGGGCGGGCATGAGGCAGCAGTCGGCGAGACTGAGGTCGTCGCCGACGGAGCACCGCCCGGCCGAGGCGGCGGCGACGGCCTCGTAGGCGGCGAGCCCGTCGGCCATGAGCTCGCGCATCCAGGCCTCGGCGTCGCCGCCCAGGGCGCGCACGCGGCGCACGATGCGCAGGTTCGTCACGGGCTGGGTGTCGCTGGCGATGATGCCGGCCAGGGCGCGCGCGGCGGCCCTGCTGTCGGGGTCGTCGCGGGGCAGGAGGTGGGGGGTCGAGGGGTGGGCTTCGTCGAGGTACTCGAGGGCGGCGAGGGACTGGGTTATGCGGAGGGGCGTGGCGGATGGAGCGTCCCGTTGCTCGCGGACGAGGAGGGGCACGGTGGCGGAGGGGTTGAGGGCGCGGTGAGCGTCGGCGAGGTGTTCGTTCTTGAGGAGGTTGACGGGGTGGAGGGTGTGGGGGATCTGCTTGTGGTTGAGGGCTATGCGGAGGCGGGCCGAGGAGGAGGAGCGGAAGTAGGTGTAGAGTGTGTATTCGGACATGATGGCCATGGTGGTCGACTACAGTGGACGCACTCACTTGCTCGATGTAGGATGAGATTGGATTCACAGGGTGGTGCAAGAGGCAGTTGACTCAACATCTAGGAGCTTGATCAAGACTGATGTGGATGATCTGGGGTAGGCGGCTGGGGTAAACCAAGGCTGGTCGACCTGCTTAAGCCGCACATTGCCATGTCTGCAAGCTCGCGGCGTAGGTCTGCCGAGACGTGAGGGCGAGGTTTGCCTGCTGTTAACAGCTCATAGGGTGTAACAGAAGTGAGACGTTGTAACCCAGTGTAAGTCGAGGGGCCGCGTTTTGCCGGCGCGGCGGCTTGTGCCGTTGGGGTAAGTTCGTCGTTGGCGGGTCATGGCATGCTCTAGTTCCGCGCATGTCACTCGGCGCCCAAACACATGGAGGAAGCCGTGAGTTGCTTGGATGAGTTGCTTGGATATTTACAATGCTCCAAACGTTGAACATGAGAAACCCGACCCAGACCGAGCCCATTGTGCCTAGCTGGAGAGGTGCCTGCAACCAGGGCCAAGATAGTAGAGCCCTGTCTACCAGCCGCCATACCAACAGAATGAGAGAACCATGACTTATCCAGTGTTGGAACATGAGTGACATGGGAATCTGAGAGCAAAAATCAAAAGATTCGACCAGGACAAGATTCGAACTTGCGCCTCCGGAGAGATACCCTTAGCAGGGGTACGTGTTAACCACTCCACCACCCTGGCCCGATTGATATTAGCGTGAGTTACAAGGCTGACTATAGCCAAAAAGAATACTCTACCCAACGTACGACCACAGTGCCGATGCATGCCGTTGGGGATGTGACCTGCTGTACAGTAGCAAGCAAGAGTCCTCTGCCTGTCAACGTCAATCACGAGGCATCTTGAGCCATCTCATTGCGTAAAGGCATCAACAAACCCCCTCTGCGCGCTTTGCAATCAACCAAGTCATCAATTGGGGTGCCCCAACTTACAGCATCTCGTTCTTGATGCCCAGAGCGATCCCATGCTCTTCCAGTGGCTAAGATGCACCATGGTGACCGACGCAAGGTGCCCAACGATCAGCGCAGGGGCCCCAGACGGAAGCTGCTCCGCGAGAAGCCGCATGCTAAAGTCTCCGCTATATTTTTGGCCCACCTTGCCCACCCAGCATCTCCATCCGCGAACCGCATTGCATCATCATGGCGATGTGGTTTTGGGGGCCCCCGCTGAGGCTTTGGGCCGTTGGTCAATCGTCCCAACATTGGATTCAAGCTTTGCGAGATAGGATCCCGTCAGATAATAGTTACGGTATGCCGGCGGTATCCCAGGGATGGTCACGTTGTTTGGTGCGGGTGCAAAGATTGTGATCATGTAAACTTCAAATGCATTGTCCACTGTCGCTTAATGCGTGCCCATGGTATCGTACAGATCCAGCCCAGGATCCCCAACGCCGACTGATTGGTAAAACAATTATTTGGCCTCCTTCTCGGCCTTTTCGGCAATCTCCTTTGCCTTTTGCGACTTCTTCTCGAGCACCTGCTTGAGCTCCTCGATTGTCTCCTGGAACAGCTTCTCGCCCTCGGCCTTGTGCTTCTGCGCCACCTCGCCGAGCTGCTGCAGCTTGGGCAGAATATCGCCGCCCTGCGGCACCATCTTGATGTACTTTTCGAGGTTGCCCCAGCTGCCGCCCGTGGCTTCCTCGGCCTTGGACTTGCCCTTTTCGACGGCATCCTTGACATAGCCCTCGAGGTCGCCGAGATCGCCCGAGTCGACGGCCTTGCGGGCATTGTCGAAGAGCTCCTTGGCGTTGCCCTGCTTCAGGGCGTCGGCGTTCTCCTCAATGAGCTCCTTGACCTTGGGGTTCTTGTCGAGAATGGGCTTCGCCTCCTCCAGAGCCTTCTTCCACGCCTCGTCGCCGAGCTTCTTGACCTGCTGGACCTTCTCCTCAATGAGCTTGCGGACCTTCTCGAGAGTCGTAAAGCTGACACCACCCGAGACTATGTCCTTGACCTCCTTCCAGGTCTGGTCAACCTGCTTCTTGGCCTCGGGACCGTAGGCGTCGCCCATTTCCTTGAGCTTGTCAACGTTGCCGCCGAGCTTCTCCTTGAGCTTGGGGTGGTTGTCGATGATGTCCGAGATGGCGTCACCCGAGAGCTCGGCGACCTTCTTTGTCAGGTCGGCGACAACATCGTAGGCCTTGGAGGCTGTCTCGAGGCTGAGGCCAGACTTGGAGAGGTCCTGGAACTGCTTGTAGGCATCGTTGACGAGGGCATCAGCTTCGTCCTTGTGGTTCTTGCGGACCTCTCCCAGTCATCAAAGGCCGTGTCGACGTAGGCGCGGCCGCCGGGAATCCAACCGACGTAGGAGTAGGCAAACTCCTTGATGTAGTTGACGGCCTCGTCAGCCGAAGGCGTGTTGGCCTGCAGCTTCTTCGTGGCCTCTGTGTACTTCTTTTCGGCGTCCTTGAGTGTGCTGTTGACCTTGGAAGCCGTGCGGCCGGCGGGCGTGAAGGAGTAGATGGCGGAGAAGAGGGCAACACCAGCAATGCCGCCTGCGACACCAGCACCGAAGTGAGATGCTCCGGCGCCGCCTGATGATGATGTGGAAGAGCCGGTCGTCGACTGGAGGCGGGTCTGCTGGCGGATTGGCATGCGCACCGAGCGCGTGGCCCGAGGCACAATGGTACGGACGGCGGGGCGTGCGGACATCATGATGGCGGTGGTTGTCGATGTGTTTGGATTTGGTTGGTGTGAGAGGTATAGGATGGTGGGAGGAAGAAGCACGACAAGGGATGATTGGGTTGCGTAGGAGGTTTGATTGTTTGATTGAGGTGAAGAAGGAGGAAGGCAGAGAAAAAGCGAAGGCAAGAGCAAGAAATAGTCTTGCCGGATGACGAACTCGACGTCTGGCGGAGCGGCAGCGGCAGGGACTGTCACAGCAGTGAAAGCAGGGGCAGGGGCATTGGGGAAGCTGTTTGCAGAATGACGCAGGAGCTGCATGCTTCAGCAGGAGCTATGGCGCCGGAGCTGGAGCTATCGTCAGGAAGGCGCACCGGAGCTCCCTCAGCTGCTCCACTGTCTGTTCCAGACTCTGGGTGGGCTGGACCAGAAGCTCCGAGGTGGTGACGTCGTTGGGACATCTGTTTGCGGGGGGGCCAAGCACGTGCTGACAGCAGGAAGCTCTCGATCGATGCTTGGGCGGAATGCATTGGAATGTCTTGCTCTCTGTCCCTTCTGCCGCAACCCGGCCGGTCACAGCCTCGGGCATGGATTGGTTCTTTGTGACAAGGTCTTTGCGATGAAGATCAGGGGCAGCGGATCATCGCCGTTGGACCTGACGGCATCGTGAACGAAGCCAAGCGTGTTCCCCAGGATTCGAGATGGGCCAGCAGCTGGGCGCGATCTGCCGCAACGGTCTTAAAGGTGGCACACCGATGGGATGCTGCATTGAGTATCGACGTCTTCTGTCCGTCGTCGACCTTTGTTCCATTATCTCGAGGCTGGAGATGATGTGCCACTGTGCAGGCAGACTGCCCCTTGCCTCCATTTCTCGATCATGGCATAGGACACGATTTGTTCGAAGGAAGGATGATCAAGGCAAGGTGCAACACAAGGTACGGAGATGCACTTCTTTCTCTGATTGGGTTTTCTTAATTTATTTTTCCAAGTATACACCACTGAGAATCATGACTAGTGTTTTTGATTGTCAGCCTCCTTCGTACTTGGAATTATCTTCCATACCTGCCTACATGGTACATGGTACCTACCTAGGTACCTACCCAGCTTATAGAGCGCCACCAGTTGGGTGTCACTCACCTGTTTTGCTCTTCTGCCTTCCCTGAGGCACCAGGCTGTCAGGGTGCTCTTCTCTCTCTCCTCCCTTCACCCCTCTCCTCAACTGCAGGGTTTTCAACTCGGACATTTCCACTCCAACCAGTGCATCTCCAGGCATTTCATCAACAGGCATTTCATCTCCATCCATCAACCAGGCACTCCTAGGCACAACCCCCAGGTGCCCACGTCTTTTCAGTGGAGCACCACCCAAGAGAGCCATCCCAGGGCCCTGCAGGGTCCCTTGGCCACTCCTCTCGGCGAATGCTTCGTCCACGCCCCTAAATCGACCCCGGACGCCCTTCGAGTCGCACTGGAATCCACATGCTCGTGTCGCTGGACCCCTCCATCCTCTACCCTCCATTCTCCATCCCACGCTCGATGACCTGTTTGCAGTCCCCAATACTACCAGCTCATCGTCCCACGAGATCGTATAAGGACAATCGCCTGGCCGCCGCTCGACACGTCTGCTGCCGCCCACGCCCATCGGCCAAACATGGACATCCGCCGCATCGCGCCATGACGACCGACCTGCCGCCAACAGCCACTCGCGCTCGCTCTCTTCCCTATCTTCCTCCCGAAATCTGGATGCACATCATAGGCTGCATCACCGACTCTCGATACATACCACGAGTCTGGCTCAATCTGCGCCTCGTGTCTCGGTTCTTCCAAACAGTCACGGAACGCGTCTTTGCCAATTGCCACCTTCGTCGCAGCCGCCTCGAGTTTCTGGCCTTTGACCCTGTCACCGACGAACACCGCCAGCCGCGCGACCTCAACTTTGCCCTCGACTTTGATCGGCTCTCGGACGATGGTCTTCGCGCCGTTTACACCGACAAGGCCATGGCCGGCCAGCACGGCACGAGCAGGCTCATAGCCAGTGACGCGACGGTGCACGATGAATGCGTCAAGCAGTGGCGTGAAAAGGTCACTGCCTACCTGGCCCCGCCGCCCACCAACCGCTACGACGTGGCTCCGCACATTCTCGTATTGCGCCGCATTGCCAATGACACGGAGCTGCCCAACTTGCGTGTCGACTACGACCGCTTTGAAGCCTCTTTTGACTGGCGGCCCGCCCTCTCCAAGCTCTTCGGCGAGGAGGAGTATCGCAAGTGGGCCGGCAAGCAGCACCCCGACCGCGAGTGGCGTGACATTATCAAGTCGGTCGATTCGGGACGCATGAACCGTATCGCCCTGTCGAGGGCCGTCATGTACCGCCTGCACGACCCGAAAAAGGTTGACTCCAAGGTCCGCCAGACGCGCATCAAGCGCTACTACCGCGCCCACGGCCGCGAGATGCAGCCCGGCTCCTTTGGCGACGTCGACTATCTCTGCAAGACGCGCGAGGTCTTTGCCGTACGCCAAGACCTTCGACGCGCCTTCATCAGCGACGAGTGGATGATGGGCGATGGGGAGGAGGAGCGCAGGGGCACCTTCTACGACGATGGTGCGGGCGTCGAATTCCCGCAGAGCGATCCCGAAGACGAGCCTGACGAGGACGTCAGCGCGTGGAGATGCCCTTGACCCCCGAGTGGTCGACTTCGAGTGGTGAAGGGTGGTCGATGGTCGGCGGCATGGGTCGGCAGCAGGAACAGGGTCGCTTTGCGAAGGTTCTTCCAGGCTCTCCGGACATCTGCCTGTTGGCAACCCTGGCTGCAGCATCGACGATCTGCGGCCTCCCAAATCATCCCAAGTGGATGGTATATCAATGTTACATAAAGGACGATGCCTTGGTTCCGATCCACAGGACCCTGAACCAGGTTAGGGGACTGATCTTACACGAAAGCAAGATTTTTAATCAACGATTAGCGTATTCTTTTTATACTGAGGTACCTTCATGTTCCCTTTTTTTTTACACTTTTACCCCCCCCCCCCCCCTTTCCTTGATCCATTTGACCACTTCCAAGTTCCAGGGACCATTTCTCCGAACAATTCCATTGCATGCACAACCTTCGGAGCGCCCTGCACCATGTCCAAAGTCCACAATCCGAAGCAGCAGTGAAATGGGGGTCTCCTATTACTTCCAGGTGACTCTCCTCACGTTCCGTGGGCGGACCAGCTCCTCCTCCGATGCCGGGCGAAACACTAGTTCATACCTCTCGCCTGTCTGCGGCTCCGGCAGACCAACAGAGCGGCAAAGCTGTCCCACCGATACCTTGACTGACCCCGTTCTGATGCCGTCCTGCAGATCTGCCACGTCCGTGGCCGAAGCCCTGATCCGGCCCTGCGCAATCGTTTCCCTCCTCTCGAGGACAGTCGTCCCGATGCCACTACCGCGCGACGGCAGGCGACCTGGCAACAGAAGAAGCCGGTCCAAGCTGGCACGGGACATGCGATTCAGCGAGCACCCGAAACCGGAACCAGGCCGCGGCGACGGCGGCGGGCTGCTGCGCGTCGGCTTGATGTTGAAGCGTGTGAGGCCGGGCGTCGGCTGCGTCGAAATAGCTGTGCGCTGTCCGCCGGCTGCGGGCGAGAAGGTGCTCTCGAGCACTGTCTGCATGCTCTCGCGCGGGTCGGCCGCGTTGGCCTCGGAGACGGCGAACCGCGCGAGGCGCGCTGCCAGGTCTTCGGCGAAGAGGTCTGGGTCGCGGACGCGGTAGCCCGGGTCCGAGTGAGGGGAGCGGGGGGTGGGGGTCGCGTCGCTGATGCTCATGGCTTTGTCGGCGAGGACCCAGAGCTTCAGGACCTCGTCGAGGGTCTCGACGGGACTGGCTCTGCCTGAGACCTTGTTCTGTACTTGGGACATTTCTTGCTGTTGATTAGGTGGGGGGACCTGAGCTGACGGTGATCTATACCCTCGATGCGAAGATGTACGCTGGTCTGTTTTCAAGCGAGAGAGATGCACTGCAATGAAGAACCTGATGTAGTATGCGG